GAGACTCTTTGAGTGACCATTGAAAATGTTAAAGATCTGTGGTAGTAACAGGTTGTGGTGGGTTGGAGAGAACAGGTAAGAGATAAAGGGCTGGAAGAAAGTTAATGAGAGTTAGCAATTTTCTTTGGAAGAAAATGTCATTTGAGGATAATTAGCAATGATTGAATTTGAATTGGAATTCATTTTAAGCTAACAAATATTGTTTGTATAGATGAGACAGATCGTATGCCCAGTCTCACTTGGTGCTTATAGTAGCTCCGAAGTAGACAGGACAGCTTTTTGCCTTTTTTCCCAGAGGTCAATTGACTTGCCCAGTCCTGCCAAGTGAAAATGTGCCTAATGTCTCAATTTTTCTTAACACTCAGTTTTAAATAGTTTTCTTGCCATTAAGAATTTTTAAATATTCAAGTAAGAAAGAAGCATGTATCTATCACTTTGACCAATTCTCTTCATCCCAAAGGTAACAATTCCTGTCTTCATTGTCACAGATGTTCCTTTAATGAAGGCTAATTAGACAACTGCATTTTAGTCTTAATTTATTTTATTCTTCCCAAATTACCTATCCCTGCCTTTGTTATTAACATCCACGGCTCCTAGTCGCATTAGGAGGCATCATCGCTAATAGTTACAGTGTCCTCTCGAGGAGATGTCTTAGGGTGCTAAGAGACAGGCAAGATTATCTAGATGTGAGCTTTATGAAAGGAAACATTTTGAGTGCTCTGTTCTCAGAGCCTAACACTTGACTGGCAAATATTTCTATGAATGAATAAGGTAATCTGGCAAAGCAGAAGGAAAAGTTACCTTTTTCCTTCAAGTCCTACCATTCACTTAACACATACTCATTCGAGTATGTTACCTGCTAGAGTTTAGGGCTACAGTAGAGGATAAGACAGATGTGATCCCTGCTTTCACATGACTCACTCTAGTAAAGAAGAAAAACATGAAGTCATTTCAGAGTGGCAAATGCCAGAAAGGAAGCCAAAGGACACTTTCCTTACCAGAAGGCCTTTCTGAGATAATGGTAAGTTAGGTTCAGGTATTGCGGGCAGCAAGCACGACATGTTAAAAAAAAAAGTTTCAGAGACAAGGTCCGTTTTAGGAACTGAAAGTCTAGAACGGCCAAAGGAGAACAAAGTGAAGGCAAGGAAGTAACGAGGTCAAGATCCTGCCCCATGTGCATACTTCATCTTATAATTGACTAACGAAATAGAAGCCATCAGGCAATTCAGTTTCCTACCTACTGTTTCTAACGCCTAAATTAGCTGCCGTTGTACCCATATGGAAGATTTTGTGAGATTTAAATGCAATTATGAAATTAGCCTCCAGTAAATACTAACTGATAAAATTTTTTCTGTCCTTGATGTCACGATGAGGGAAGTATTCTACATTTTCCCTAAAGCTAATCCCTACTTGTGATCTGTTGTTTCTCTCATCTCCTCAGAGACTAAATGTAAATTATTTCCTACCCTATCTTTTAAAGTCATCCTTACCCACATATCTCTGTCTTTTTCATTAAAGTCAACATATTCTGGTCTCAGGCCTTTGCTGCCATTTCATCTTCTGCTCATGCCTCAGCCCACTGTATTTCAACTTGACTATCTTTACATCGAAACAAGTCACCAGTAATCCTTGCTGTTGAATCCAATGAATTCAGGGTTTTTAAACTGACATCGTTCCCAGCAATAGATTTATTTTCTTCTTCTTAGTTTTTCTCTTGTGTTTTCTATAGAAATAGCTTTCTGCTACATAGTCCTTGAAACAATCCACTCAGTACCTAGCTTCCATAACCCTGTATATCTTTTTTTATTTCCTTTGCCCATTTCTTAACTGTTGATATTCTCTTTCTTTTCGAAGTTAACTTTCAGCCCTTTTCTCATTATCTTTGTGTTCCTCATCTAGCCTTAACCACTGTCATGGATTCAGCTTCCAGCTTTTTCTTAGGGCCTTCAAATCTATATTCTAGTCTAAGAGTGTGTTGTGATTTTTATTTTGAGTGGGTGGAAGAAGGGTTTGCAGAAGTGGCAGTAAGGAAGAGGAAGCAATGCTACAGTTTTCGGTATTGGTGTTAGCTGAACCGTTGCTGTCCAGTAGAACTCTGGTGGAAATATTCTATCTCTACACTGTCTTAATATGGTAGCCACTGGCCACATGGGACTATTTGAGTACTTGGATGTGGCAGTGCAACTAAAAAACTAATTTTAAATTTGTTAATAGTTACATGTGACTGGCTCTGTTATGGATGGTGCAAATATAAACAATGGTTCAGAATAATTTTCTAACCTTTATAAGGGAATGTGGTTTTTGTTAGGGTTTTGCTAGCTACAATAATCATTTGATTTCTAGATTAACTTTCAGAGTGCATACAATTTCACTTTTCTCCAGAATGTTTCAGTTTTTTGTCCTCTTGGGCTACCTTAAGATTTCAGTTCGGGTGAAAAGACCAACATATTTAGGTTGGGAACATTTTCATTTTCTACCTGGAACTAAGGATATTCTCCACTTGAGGGAATACAAGAAAGATCCCTCCCTTTATCATACCCGCATTTGGTATATTTAGCTCACAAACCTTTAGTGGTGATGAGAGTTCTTGACATGCCTAACGGGACATCTTGGGTTACACAGCGCTGCTGCCTGATAGCATTGTCATGAAACTGTTTAGATAATCAAGTCTTTTAACCCATGGAGGTGTCTATAATAAATGTCTTATTTTCCTTGCAGCCTTGTTTTAAAAGAAGAAGCATCTGATTACCTTGAATTGGATACAATTAAAAATCTTGTCAAAAAATACTCCCAGTTCATAAACTTTCCTATTTATGTATGGAGCAGCAAGGTAAATCTATATTGCTAAAATTTATATGTATTATCTTGGCACATATTTAAATATTTGATACTTAGAATTAAAGTTTTTTTCAGTTCAGGATATTCTTAGTTTTCTTACAGAAGACCTATATTTTTGAGCTATAATTTTGTTTCATATTTTGAAGATCAAATCAGAATTAAATAAGTTTAACCATAATTCTACTTTTTACTTCCTACTTCAACAGACAGAAACTGTTGAGGAACCCATGGATGAAGAAGAAGCAGCAAAAGAAGAAAAAGAAGAATCTGATGACGAAGCTGCAGTAGAAGAAGAAGAAGAAGAAAAGAAACCAAAAACGAAAAAAGTAAGTCTCCCTGCTTAAAATGTTGTATAGAATACATTAGAGAAAACATGAAAACCTGAGTATGCCCAGACTGATTTGAAGCAGGCTTCAATTCTTAAAGGTCACCTTTTTCCAAATTATAAGTCCATCTTTCAAAAACAAGGACTTTGTAGTAGGTTTTCTGCCTCTAGAAAGTATAAGTGTCAAACCTGTGTCATTTTTATGAAGAATTTTCTGGCTTCCATATATTGTTCAGGAGTGGTGGCTTATGACATGTTTTGAATTTTAAAATCTTAGGTTTTTTGCATCTTTTGTCATGTAGATATTAAGTATAAAATTCGTTCTCTGGCTTGCTTAGGTAGCAGAGTAGATAGAAGAAATGGGTGCTGGGTTTTGAGGAATATTTATTGTAAGATGCTGGATTTTTATAAGTCATGAAATAGGAATATATAATAAGCGTAGCCCCTCCTAACCTTAAAACAGATATTTTCAAGGAATAACATTTTAGCTAATTAAAAATAACAAGGAAAAAACCTTAATTGGCTTTTTATCAATTATAATGATAACCAGTTACCTTTTTTGTGTGTTAAAAATCAGTCTTACATGTTGAAAGACTTTTTTAATTTTCAATTCATTTGACAGGAAGCATACTAGGTTAATGATATCCTTTGGTGCTTCCTATACTCTTGAAATGTCCTTAAGCTATGGTTTCCGCTAGTGTAACTGCTGGTGAGTGCTGGGGGAAACTAATCAAATACTGTAACTTCAGGTTGAAAAAACTGTCTGGGACTGGGAACTCATGAATGATATCAAACCAATATGGCAGAGACCATCAAAAGAAGTAGAAGACGATGAATACAAAGCTTTTTACAAATCATTTTCAAAGGTAAATATTATTTTAGAATATCAAAAATATGTTCTAAAATAGTTTATATAACTACTTCACAATTGGTTTCCTTTTGGATCCTGTGTATTTTATATTATGCATTTAAAATTTTTTTTACTCTAAGAAGAAATCTGTAGGCTTCACCAGATTACCAAGGTCTGTGTTACAAAAAAGATTAAGAACTACCAACAGAGATGTGTGTGTGTGTGGTTTCCACTACGGAACCCATAAAACAGTCACGTTATTGAATGGCTTGTAACGTGATCTTTAAAGAGCTTGCTTACGACGACATCAAACAATTACTGTGAGGTCATTAATTACTAACTCTGTTTTCTTGCCTATATTTTTTTCTTTTACTGATCCCTTCTTGTAACTCTTAAGCATCCCTAACTAGCTTAGGTTAAGATTGTTTCAAGTTAATGTTTCCCCAAACAGCATTTTTTACAAAATAGAATAGTTTAATGGACTTAGTTACCAGCTAGATAAAACTTGAATATTCTATGATTGTTGGTTCATCACTCTATTCCATCCATTGATGTGTGACTTAACCTTCTTTGTTTTCCTGTGTGTTAATATCCAACCAGCCTTTAAGCTTTACCCGTAAAAACCTTCCCTTGATTCTGCCTCCACTTTCATTCCCATGAACTCTAAAGTCCTGGTGTATATTAAGGTACTTTCATCTAGGGCAGCTGTATTAGAAATATAATGTGAGCCACATACTGTTATCTTAAATATTTTTAGAAGCCACATTTTTTTAAAAAGGCAAAATTGACTGTTAATGTATTTATATTTCATTTAAGCCAACATACCCAGAATAATATTATTTCAACGTGTGATCAATAATAATGAAATATTTTACAGTTACTGTCACGTCTTGATTTGGACTGGCCACGTGTAGGAACAATAATGGGTAATGCAGATCTAGGGACTGACTGTCTTCAAAACCTTTATAGCTATTTGCATATCTCTATAGCCACAGCTATAGTCCAGATTCCATGGACAAAATCTGTTCCTGAGTAGTTTTTGTGGTTGACCAGTCCACTCTTGAAGTGTTGTCTATGATTTTGTCATTTAGACAAGATGGTGGTTTTACCATCTTGTTCTCTCAACACGTGTGGAACCTGGACTCATCCATACTTCTGAGTTTAGGAGTAACGTTATTTTCAGTCATCATCAAAACAACTATGTCTAGCCAATTTGAATTGCAGTCTTAATGTCAAACTGAACGGCATCACTTAATTGCTTAGCCTTTGCACCGTCTTTTTCTGTGCCACTTGGATAACTAAGTACCAATTTTCCATAGGAAAGCGATGACCCCATGGCTTTTATCCACTTTACTGCCGAAGGGGAAGTTACCTTCAAATCAATTTTGTTTGTACCCACATCTGCTCCACGTGGTCTGTTTGACGAATATGGATCTAAGAAGAGCGATTACATTAAGGTAGGTTTCTAAGTAATATAAACTGAATTTAAAATTTGGAAATATGATTTCTAGAAAGTGACTTTTTGGTCTCTGCTTAGCTGTATGTGCGCCGAGTATTCATCACAGACGACTTCCATGATATGATGCCCAAGTACCTTAACTTTGTCAAGGGTGTTGTAAGTATCTGAAGATTGGGGAAAGGGAATTAAGATGGAGATTTGGTAGTAACTTGGGTTGGGGGGAGAGTTGTTTGTTTTCCAGTGTTTTTATTGCTCACTGAGCTTTCTTTTGCCATCCGAAGGTGGACTCAGATGATCTCCCCTTGAATGTTTCCCGTGAGACTCTTCAGCAACACAAACTGCTTAAGGTGAGTGTCTCTGGGAAGAGACCGGCTGCTTTGCTTTTTGAATGGGCCACAGAGGACACTTTCCATTAATGGAGTCACCAAATTTCAAGACTAGTCTTTGGATCTTCAGATAAAGAACTTAATTTTACTCTAGAATTCTCAAATCCTGAGAATCTGATTATTTTTCCCCCATTTTATAATACAAATTTTCAAACATAGAAAAGTCATAAGAATTTACACTGAACACATACATATATATATATATACACACACACATAGCTACTACCTGGTCTAAAGTTAGAGTATAAACAATCTTGTGACTATTTCCACTGACTACTTTCTCTCTGTTCAGTCAGACATAGGAGTGCTCACCATTCTCTGTCTCTTGATAAATAGCAATGACAGCTACGGCACTGCTCTCCTCCTACCTCACACAGTAGGTTCTCAAAAGTGTGAAAAGAAATTCTCTAATCAGTTCTTTAATTTTGTTTAGGTGATTAGAAAGAAGCTTGTCCGTAAAACTCTGGACATGATCAAGAAGATCGCTGATGAGAAATATAATGATACTTTTTGGAAAGAATTTGGTACCAACATCAAGCTTGGTGTGATTGAAGACCACTCAAATCGAACACGTCTTGCTAAACTTCTTAGGTTCCAGTCTTCTCATCATCCAAGTGACATTACTAGTCTAGACCAGTATGTGGAAAGAATGAAGGAGAAACAAGACAAAATCTACTTCATGGCTGGGTCCAACAGAAAAGAGGTGAGATGAACTCTAACTGTCAGGGATCGTGGTATGTAGCTAGGGATTTATAGCCAACTCTTGAGCTATAGTAGTTATGAGGCCTGGTCAGTCACTAATAAGAAAGCCATTTATAATCTCTGCACCTCTTAATTCTCCACATGTAAAATGTGGTTGTTGCTACTATATAGACATAGTAGCTGAGATCAACAAATAAATATACCAATTCTAGATTCAGAAAACTTTAATTCCCTTAATTTTATAGGCCGAATCTTCTCCATTTGTTGAGCGACTTCTGAAAAAGGGCTATGAAGTGATTTACCTCACAGAACCTGTGGACGAATACTGCATTCAGGCCCTTCCTGAGTTTGATGGGAAGAGATTCCAGAATGTTGCCAAGGAAGGAGTGAAGTTTGATGAAAGTGAGAAAACTAAAGAGAGTCGTGAAGCAACTGAGAAGGAATTTGAGCCCCTGCTCAATTGGATGAAAGATAAAGCCCTCAAGGACAAGGTATTCTTCTGGAAATTAGAAATTGTGAAAATGTTAGCACCTGATCTTTTAAAAAATTGTTTTGTCAACAAATTAAACTTTGCAACTGATTGCTTTGTAACCATTAAAACTTGTCGGGACAACATTTATACTGTGATTAAATTACTGGAAGAATAATAGTGATTATTCTGTATGAGTACTCGGGGGCGGGGGTTCTTTATAATTGCAAGTTTTCTATAGTTTAATATTGCTTTTGTAATAATTTAAATTTTTACAGGTTAGGTTTCAGTTTTATGTTTTTAAAAGTTGATGTTTAAGTATTTCTGACTGCAAAATGAAGGTTAAATGACAGTGTCTCTTAATAATCTGTACAGTAGTTTTGTGACCTGCCTCTTTATGGTCTCAAGTGATTAATCCTTAAAGAGTTGAAATGCAATTACTGAATGACCTTAACGATTGATACTTACACGTATCTAACTTTCGGTTTCTTAAGATTGAAAAGGCTGTGGTGTCCCAGCGCCTGACAGAGTCTCCTTGTGCTCTTGTGGCCAGCCAGTACGGGTGGTCTGGCAACATGGAGAGAATCATGAAAGCACAAGCCTACCAAACAGGCAAGGACATCTCTACAAAGTAAGTATCCTTGGGGAGGTCCCTGTCAAGGTGGTAGCTCTGTCCAGCCGCCTTTTGGAAGATGATGACAGCTTCTGTACAAAGAACTGATGTGTTTTATGTGTCTACTGTATATTAGGTAGACAAGTTTACAGAGGGATTCCTTCTGCATTAGAGTGATAAAGAAAAAGTCTTGGACTCCTGGCATATTTTATAGTATTTTATAAACAAACACAAATTTTCTTAATCTGTTACACATAAATTGTCTTTACTATTGCATTAGAATATATGCTTGGCCTGGTATCTAAAGTTTTTACATTTTTAGGTAATAGTAATAGTTACAGACGAGGTTAATGACAACATTTTCAAATTAGTTGTCTTTTTTAACCACCACACCCTTCCCCCACAAAATAAAAGGTAAAACTTGACCTATGAGTTAACAATTATTTGAACTCAAGATCCAAGTGCTGGAGGTAAGTGGGTCTTTGATACCCTTTATTTTTAAGAAATACATATTTCAAGTTTGTATTTTATTGTCACATCAGTAGCCTCGAAAATGACTTTTTCCCTCCTTTTATTCTCTTCTTCCACCTGGAATAACTTCTTTTTTATTTGCTACCTAGTCATCATACATTTTTTCCTAAAGCCTAGCTTAAGGAATCTTCTCACAAATATGTTTATTAAAATAAATACACACATACATACACACGCATTTCAAAATTAGTGCGACTCACCAATATATAATGTTATACAATAAAATGGCTAAGATGCTGTCTTGCTTAAATGTCTTGTCCCCTAACTAGATTATAAATTTCAGGTGCAGAAGAGGTTTCTGCTTATATTCCATTGGAATAATATAGTAGTCATTTAGTAAATGTCCACCTATTTCAATCATTTATTAACTGGAAGTTAACGTCCGTTCAACAAATGTTTGAGTGCCTATTATATTTATACACTGATGGTCTAGATACTGTTTTCATGACATTTAACTCTTTCATCTAACCATGTTCATCCACCTTTGAAAGGGGAAAGCATGATGTAGCCATATAGTACATCTTGATTTCTCCAAGAGCTGTTCACTGTAATTATGAAAGTTAGTAATAGGATACGGGAAATGCATGGACCCTAAAATTTGATATGTTTGTTAATGTTCATTTTTACCCCTTAACAGTTACTATGCCAGCCAGAAGAAAACATTTGAAATTAATCCCAGACATCCACTGATCAGAGACATGCTTCGACGAGTTAAGGTGAGTGATGTTACAGCCATACTCCATCATTTTAACTAGGATACTTTGTAATTTTTAATCAAGTGTGATTTGTTCCATCTCAGGAAGACGAAGATGACAAAACAGTTGCAGATCTTGCCGTGGTTCTATTTGAAACAGCAACCCTGCGGTCAGGATATCTTTTACCAGACACTAAAGCATATGGAGATAGGATAGAAAGAATGCTTCGCCTCAGTTTAAACATAGACCCTGATGCAAAGGTTTGTATCCCCAATCTTCCTACATAGGTTTAATTTTCTTTACAGAAATAGGTTTCCCATAATTAAGCTCTGAGAAGGACTAATTTCTGCTTCTTTGAAATAATTTATTACTTGTTTAAAACTTCAGTGTCATACACTATGCTAGAAATTAAATTCTCCTTTTACGTGCTTTTTTGTCTTATCTCCCTTTGTTAGCTTGATCTTTAATTAGAGGATTGTGACGTTAATTATGATCTTAAACATTTAAACGAGCAAAATGAAAATAGATCCATTAATGGGCACATAAATGCTGCCTTAGGTCGAAGAAGAACCCGAAGAAGAACCTGAAGAAACAACCGAGGACACCACGGAAGACACAGAGCAAGACGAGGAAGAAGAAATGGATGTCGGAACAGATGAAGAAGAAGAAGAAACAGCAAAGGTATAGCATGTTAAGAACGGAACTTGCATTCTTAGTTCTGGCAAAGTTAGGAAAACTTTTAGTTCTGGCATAGTTAGAACTGTGTAACATACAGAAATCACAGAAATCTGCCAAAAAATAGACATCTCAAATTCAAAAGCTGGAGTAAATCACTCTTTAAAGTATATTTTGATCTTCCTACTAATTTTATTCCTTTATTTTAGTCACACATTCTTCAAACATTTTTAAACAGATTTTTTCTTAGCCCACAGTGCTTCTGTACTCTTCACCATTTACTTCAGCTTTACTATAGTAATATTAGGCTGTTTTAAATTTTTGATTGTTTATATTCAGGGGCCATTGATCTTGGTGTAGTGGGTTCTAAAATGTTTATCTAAATTTTTCTGCAGATAAGCAAAGTGAGGTTTTCACCTACAGCTGAAATAATGGAAATAGGCTTGACCTGTTCATTTTTTTCCCTCATTTACGAACCTTCTGTGAGCTTAGGGGTTTTTTCCCCTAGTTTTTAATCTCTTCTGATTTTTGTTTTCACAGAAATCTACAGCTGAAAAAGATGAATTGTAAGTTATACTCTCACCATTTGGATCCTGCGTGGAGAGGGAATGTGAAATTTAAGTCATTTCTTTTGGGAGAGACTTGTTTTGGATGCTTACCCCAGCCCCCTTCTCCCGTGCACTGTAAAATGTTGGGATTGTGGGTCACAGGAAGAAGAGGGTTTTTTAGTTGAATTTTTTTTAACATTCCTCATGAATGTAAATTTGTACTATTTAACTGACTATTCTTGGTGTAAAATCTTGTCATGTGTATAAAAATAAAAAAGATCCCAAATATTCAGTCTTTTTTTTAATTTAAAAAAAAAAAACATTTTAGAAAGTCAGTCATTTCTAGAGAGAAAAGATAATCTTCCCTACAGAAGAATTCCAAATAATATATGTAGATGTTCCCCCTTTTTGGAGGTGGAGCTTAATCTTCTGAGTGTGGGCGGGTCTCAGTGACTATCTTCTATAGCAGCGGTCCCCAACCTTGCTGGCACCAGTAATCGGTCTTCCTATGAGACTCTAATGCCTGATGATCTGAGGTGGAGCTAAGTCAGTGATGCTAGCACTGGGGAGTGGATACAAATACAGATGAAGCTTCGCTGGCTTGGCCACTGCTCACCTGTGCGGCCCAGTTCCTAACAGTCTGTGGACCAATAAAGGTCTGCAGCCCAGGGTTTGGGGACCCCTGTTCTATAGAATAGAGTATGGAAAGGGGAAAATGGTCATTTCATAGCAGAGAAACGTGGCGGATACTACCTTAACCAAGTGATCAAGGTTAATACCACCAGTGATGTCTTGTACCCCCTTACAGGATGTAATAAGGGTACTTCACCTCTGGTATTCTTTCCAAAACCCCATATCCTTTACCTAATGAGAAAAAACAGACAAACCTAGAATATGTGAACAGGACTCTTCAGAAATTCCAAGGTCAAAACCAAAGAAAGAGTACAGACTGGAGGAGACTAAGGAGACAGGGCAACTAAATGTAATACAGCCTGGATTAAAAGTGAAATCCAGATAAAGGCTGGGGTGTAGTTAATTGGTTCCTTAGCTTTGACATATGTAAAATGTACCGTGGTAATTTAAGATGATAGCATTCACAGAAACAGGGAAAAGTGTAACACAAACTCTACTGTGCAGGTTTTCTATAAATCTAAACATTCCAAAATAGACTTATTTAAGAATCAGCTATAATCCTGTTAATTTATTCTGAAATGTGTTCTTATGGGAAAAATAGTTTTAACTTCTAGTAATATAGTCATCCAAAACGGTAGTCTCATTTTTTTAACTGGTTAGGGAGAGAAAAATATATTCAGTTGCATATTCAAAGATCTGGAGTACGTTAGAAAATTCTGTGGAATCTAATTTTATGTACTATGAAATTTTGTCAGACCTCTCTGCCGATAATCCAGGGCCCTTTCTGGGCTCTGTTCATCGTATGCTCCTCTTCCCAGCTATTTTTCTAGGGTTCATTTGCAATGATCAGTTTGAAATTATCAGTTACCCTACTTAAATGTGTATCTTCAAAAATATGTGCTGCTGCTTTTCCCTGAAGAAATAAAATGGGAGCTCAGTCATTAACGTGTTATAAGGATGATATAAACTTCCTTTGATGATATAATGTTACATTAGCTATTGTAATGGTTCCAACTTTTTGGCCACAATAAATTGCCATTTAATGATTGTTGCAGAAGTTAAAGCCATTAGAATGCACTACATTAGTGACATCTGAAATTCAATGCTCCTTAGAATCCTCCAGTTACAAATTCTGAATTTCCATTGTTTCCGACAGGAAGCATGAAAAGCATAATCACTCAGTTTTTTGGTAAAAACAGCAGCAATATCATAGAGATTTTGCACAGTAACTAACTGACAATTACCAAACAGGTTGCAACTGGTCTGTCTTGGACTTTTTCTTCCCCGCAGCTTTATTATGGAGTAATCTAGTGCTACTTTAAACTTTTGGTTTGTATATGTCATACATTTGGTTTACAAAGCACTGAGATGAGCGTTCAGTACATAGGATGTGTGTTAAGGAGTGGCCTTATATCAATACCTATGGAAGGAAAGGAAATGGGATTGAGCAGAGGAAGAAGCTGAGCTGTAGCGCAGTTCCAGGGACAGCCTCAGCCATCCCCACGGGGATTTGTCAGCTGCAGTGGGGCCCCTCAGTTGCTCACCTGTGTTGTGCTGAAATGACTGGGCCTTTCTACCCCATCTGTCATCAGGTATGGGCCCCTTTAGGAAGTGTGGCTTTGAGAAAGGCCACTGAGCTGAGGTAATCCCTGCAGGGGCTGACAACTGAGGATGGCTTGCTGACAGCACTAGGCACTGGGGCCACAAGCCTCTGGCGAGTCTGGATGATACATTCCATGCCCAACACTCTATTTTTCACAGTGAGGGTCCACTTCAAAAAAGGAAAACATATTTCTTGGTGAAAGTCACTTAGAATCAGTGTTTACTAAAAATGGCATTTTTATTTTAGGAAGTTTTTAATATTATAAAATTAATTATTCAACTTTAGTTGTCCTATAGGAGAATTGAGTTCAAATCATGACTCTTCCTCAATAGCCAGACCAGTCACTCTATACCTATAAAAGAAAAGCATGGGGTAAGGGGTGCTTTTAAAGTATGGTCCACTGAATTCACCCATGGCATGAAAGTCCTCCCTTTGTGCAGACGTTGGCCCCAAGGGGCAAGTCATGCAAAGGGTGAGCAGTGCCCCAGCCCTTCATTCTGAAAAGAACAAGGAGCTCCTCACTGGTATCATTGCCAAAGCTCACCAATTTGGTATTCATGTACTAAAGTTTGTGGAGAACTAGAATTTGAAAATGTTAGTTTAGCAATGAGAAAAACTCCATATAGCAAATTCAATTGCCGAAACTAGTTGAGGGTTAAAAAAAAAAATCAAGTATCTTTCCTGAAAACTTTGGAATTCCAATTCTGAGGAAGTTAAGCAACTAGATTAGAATTACCGAGTGTTTAGGAACCCATTTTTAAATTCCTGTGATTAAAAAGAGTCACACTTCTTCCAGCCTGATTTAAAGATCCTGCCATCAGTGGCAGCTGTGGCAACCTTCACCATTTGTAAAGTATACAATTTATTTCAAGAAAAAAAGTATTCAATTAATAGTAGCTATGAAATTAGATCTAGAGAAGGAACAGCTCATGTGCAAGATCACAGGAAATGAAATATCAGCAAAGAGCAAGCAGTCTCAATGAAAAACACAATCTCCCAGCCCTTTCCCTAGGGCTACTGCGCATTTGTCACTAACAAGTGGAGATCTTCTTTGTGCTGGAAGCATATGATAAGGTACCAAATGACATAGGAGCAGGAAAGAGCTTATATATAAGGCTGGAAATAAGCCATTTCATTTAGTTGCTTTATACTATTAAATTGAAAAGGGTATTTACTACAGAGTAAAACAAAAGCGTTTTGCTTGCATTTAGGAATTTAATATTTAAGATTTCAATTCTGATCCCAAAGATCTGTTATGTTGCAATTTGCTAACTAGCTAAGTAGTAAGCCTAGACATTATCTTTAAGAATGCAGAATTCTATTGAAAAAAAAAAAAATAGCCCTGAACAGAAAGCTAACTGTTCTATAAATTACTTTTGTTCTGTATTTAGACTCAGAAAAGTTGAAATGTTTATATCAGTTTCCTGGGGCTGCCACAAGAAAGTACCACAAACTGGGTAGCTTAAGAAAACAGAAATTTATTCTCTCACAATTCTGGAAGCCAGAAGTCTGAAGTCCAGGTGTCAGCAGGGCCATAACCTGAGACTCTGGACAGAGTCCTTCCTTGCCTCTTCCTAGCTTCTGGTGGTCGCCTTTGATCCTTGGTGTTGCCCGGCCATTCGCTGCATCACTCCAGTCTTTGCCTCTGTTGTCACATGGCGTTCTCTCTGTCTTTAAATGGCATTTTCCTCTTCTTTTAAAGACACCATTCGTATTGGATCAGAGCCCACCCTAATGACCTCATCTTAACTCGGTTCCACTTGCAAAGACCCTATTCCCAAATAAGGTTACATTCACCTGTACTGGGCAGGGAGCGGGGTGGGAGACACAATTCAACCCATGACATGCTCATTTAAGTTTTCCAGTTATCTTTAAATATATTTCATAAGAAAAAACATGATTTCTCAAATTTGGAGGTAAAGAAATTGTGACAGTCTAAGTCACAATTATTATAATTTTATGTATACAATTCCAAATGAACTTCAAACTTTAAATATTTCAACTTAATTTGTTAACAGTACTTTCCAATCTTTAGAAAAACATTAACTTAGCACCATAAGCACTCATTGTCAATGCTACTTTTACAATAAATTTCAAAAATATATATTTAAGACATTATTTACAGAGTTCTTGGCAAAGTTGTATTTTGAGGTTTCTATTGCTGAGAAATTTGAGGTTTGTGTTGTCTCTCCTTCAGTCCCAAAAGCTCTGTTTTGAGTTCTCCAGGCTTTGGTGGAATTTCAGGTATTGTCTGTAGATAAATAAACAAACAAACACAGATGCCACTGCTTTCTTAGACTATAATTAAATGTGACCTGAAAGAATTCAAAGAGAGTAAAGAGTGAAAATGAACAAAAAGTTCCCTGCTACTCAAAGATAAATCTTTATTATGAGAACCCACAGTTGATCTAAGTCCCTTTCCAGCCCTATATTAAATATATGACTCTATCACCTAAGCTAGGTCTTAAGTACTACAGGACTTACAGAGGGAGAGTTTACCTCACTATCAATTGATGGATCACAAATTTGAATAAAGCTTTCCATATTTGGATAGTCATTCCTGCACTAGTTATTGACTCTCCACCATGCATAAAGCAGTGAGCAAAAAAATACATAAAACTGCCTTCAAGAAAGGTGGTCAGGAAAGGCCTGAGGTGACTTTTTTTTGTAAGGCTTTAGTGAGATATAATTCAATACCATACCATTCACCTATTTATATAATTCCATGGCTTTTCGTATATTCACAAAGTTGTGCATCCATCACTACAATATATTTTAGAGCTTTTTCATCACCCTCAAAAGAAACTCCAACACATTAGCAGTCACTCCCATTTCCATACAGCCAAGCCACTGCCCTAGGTAACCATTAATATTTTTGTCTCTATAGATGCGTCTATTTCAGACATTTCATATAAATGGAATCATATGATAGGTGGTCTTTTGTGACTAGTTTCTTTCACTTAACATGTTTTCAAGGTTCATGCTGTCACGTATATCAGTACTTCACTTCCTTTTAGGACCAAATAATATTCCATTATACGCATATACCACATTTTATTTGTCCACTTATCAGTTGATGAACATTTGGATTGTTTCCACCTTTTGGTTCTTAGAAATAACAGTTCTGTGAACATTTGCATACAAGTTTTTGTGTGGACGTGTGTTTTCATGTCTCTTGAGTATAAACCTAGAAGTAGAAGAGCTGGTATATGATCACTCTGTTTAACTGTTTGAGGAACTGCCAGACTTTTCCACAGCAGCTGCACCACTTTACATTCCTAACAGCACTTTGAGGAGTCTAGTTCCTCCACATTCTCACCGACACTGGTCATTAGCTGTTTTTTAAATTAATAGCCATCAAAATGGTTATGAAGTGGTATCTTATGGTAGCACAGGCCTTTTGTAGAGCTTACATTCTAGTGGAGGAAACAAAGAACAAAGAGAAATAGGAATAAAATAATTGCAAATTTTGACAAGCACTCTGTGGGAAAAGACAGACACGACAGCAGAGGAGCAATCCTTTTGAAGCTGTCCAAAGGACCCTCATAGCTGGAGGAGGTATCTGAGCAGACATTTGAAGTTTTGAAGAAGGAAACAAAGCCAAGATCTGGGAGAAATGCATTCTGAGAAAAAGCGTGGCTCTGAGGTGGGAACAAGGCTGGATGAGTTTGAGAAACAGCTAGGAAGCTGTTGTGGCTGCAAGAGACAACACAGAGTAAATGGTATAATAAAGCCAGTGGCAAGAAGATGCCAGACTGTGTAAGACCTTGAGATTGCGTATGATTTCTGTGTAAGAGGAGGACATACATTGCTCTAAATTGCAATGGGATGCCATCCTAAGGTTTTCGGCCCAGGGTAGGTGTGCTCCTGCTTTCGTTTTAAGATCACTTTTTCTGCTGTAGAGAGAATGGAGTGGTCCAAGAGCGAGGAACAGGACCCTCCTGCACTCACCAGGTCCGGCCGGTAGTATCTGTGCACCACTTCAGCCCCTGCGAACATGGCCAAGAGGCTGGCTGTGACCATTTTCACGTAGGTGGTCCAGGGCACGCCCGCGGGCATGGTCGGTGGGCTAGATGGGGAGCGAAGAGCGTAGTGTTGAAAGGTTCTCGGCTCGCGACACAGCAGTGGAGGGGCGGAGTCAGAACACTTAGGTTTTCTCCCACCCCAGCGCCCCAGTGTCCTTGTTTATGACGCAAGGACACGGAGAGGACGAACGTCCTTCCAGGCCTAAGACCAGCCTTCAATGGTTTCTTACTGTCAGGGGTTGAGCCTTCAGAATTTAAAGACAGCTCTTGAGTAGAAAGCAGAAGGCCAACCGCGCGTGGTTTTCCCACGCCCCTTCAAACTCTTGGTTAGAGTATGGCAGACCCCGTTCCCACTGGCCCTACAGGGAGAGACTATACCGCGGAGGGCACAAGCGCTCGGCCGCGGGTCAGAGTGCGGGAGGAAGTGCACGAGGAGGTGTGCCCAGGAGCCAGAGCAGACAGCCAGCGGGCGGGACCGAAAGTTTAGGGGTGGAAGGCAGCGCCGGACGAAAAAGCAGGGGCACTGCCGGCGCGGGCATGTGACCTGGGCGGAAGTGGGACTTAGGGCCGGATCCAGTCTTTTTTTTCACTGATTACCGGTCTTTTCCCAGCCCTGAGCTTTTGTCGCGCTCATCACTCTCCCTAGAGTAGGATTTCCCTGGCAGATGTCGAATTGTGGGATCGGCTCTTGGCTGGATTATTGCATCATTTGTCCTTCCTTGTGCCAGGCATCCTTTGATACCTGAAACAGCCGCATCAAGACAGCTATGCCTTTGTGTTTTGGCGCTACTGGAAAAAAGGAAACCAGAAATGGACTACTTAATCCATTTTTAGATTGTGCTTTGGTTATGGGTTGATTTTTGATAAGCAAAAAGTTAATGCAAGACTGAATTCTGAAGGTGTATGGTTGCACGTATAACATGAATCGTGATACACTTTTTAAACACTTATGGAGGTACATTTGACACAAAATAAACCACATATTTAAAACACACAATTTGATGGTTTGACGTGTACACCTGTGTAACTATTCTTACAACCAAAATAATGAACATATCCGCCACCCAAGGTTTTTTTTGGGATGCCTTTTTCTTTTTTAAATTTATTTTCAATTATATATAGTTAACCCAAAAAGATTCTTTGTGCCTCTAATCCCTCCACGTCACCTCCTTCCCTGGGCAACCACTTTAAGCAAGCTTATCTGGTTAAGAGGGAGAATTGTGACGAAAAGAGACAAGGTGAAGTGACTTGTCCCTTCTTTTGTTGTCCTATCATACAAGGTGTCTTTGAAGTAGAGACATAATTTGGCAAAGACATTTCTTCTAGGTTCCCCCAAGCTCTGGTACGCAAGGCTCACACGTGGAACAAGTTTGTCTTCCAGACTCAGATTCTGTTTGAGAGAGACACTGATGAGACAGGAGCCACTTTGCTGTGACTGCTTTGCCATTTCCAAGTTCAATGTCCTGCTCTCCAACAACTCTTCTAGGAAACACTTCCTTTTGCGAGATAAAACTAAGTAGAGGTCCTTGGTCTGCTGAGGTTATGAATGGAGCTGGCAGACCCAGAACTGGCAGCACCCCAAAGAGATGGAGATCCTTGCTACCCAACTGTAACTCTTCCTGAGTGAAAACCACCTGGGAAAAGCTTGCAGCTTTTTACACACTTTCAGTCACCAGAATTCTCTCTGAAATCAGTGAGGGAAGCCACCCACCTTAAAACTTTTCTAGACCCTGGTCTTGAGTGATGAGAAAAACCAGCGGGAGAAGATGGGCTGTTGTTCATTCATTAATTCAACAAATAGTCAAGGAATACCTACTGTTTTTATTGATCTCAGCCTATCAATAACCAATGTTGCAGCTGAATCAGCCCTTATGGTTCTTATTTTTATTGCTAGACACCATCCAGCTATAACCATCAGGAAACATTGAAAAGATATATATTATTTACAAGACCTGGAAATTACACAGCCCACCTGGCGCCACACAGCGAGGTGCAAGGTGGGAGCCTGAGGTTTCACTGGTTTACTCTTCATCAGTGAATTTAAAATAGAAGAGTGGAAATTTAAATAGGAAGAAAAAAAAAGTAGCCCAAATGGTCTGTTATTGAAATCAATCAAGGTATCTAAAACAAAAGAGCCTCAGCTAGGGCAGGTGGACTGGCTACTTATGTAGTCGAGTGTCTGGCAATGTGTTTGTTTTAGAAAACCAATCTATGAAGTTGATGCCTCTCTGAAATGAATGCCCTGGCAATCAAAGCTTAAGTTAGGCACTCGCAAAGAAAAAAAAGAAAAAAAAGCCAGGATCTATATATACCTACCATGAGTGAGTAATACCTACTACGAAACAGTATTTGTAAAAGCTCTCAAAATAATTTTAAATATTGTTTTATTTAAGCAATTGATATAATACAAATTAATCATTCTATATTTACTCATGAAAGCCCTTTCCTGGTTCCCAGAATACATAAGACACACGAAGCACAGAGCTACAGCCAACTCCCAGCTTGAAAGCTACATTGCTGAGAAAATGAATCATTGTAAGCCACTGAGATTTTGGCGTCATCTGTTACCACGGCTTAACTAGGGAAAGCTGACTAATACAGTAGCCATATTTCTCATCATGAAAACTAGAGAAAAAGTATATCTCCATTGTTATTTAATGAAGGCCTTGTACAAACACTAGTGACAACTTGAGAATAAAACAAAAACTAGCTGTAAAAAGAAAAATGGATAGTCTGGAAGGTTATAAGGAAAAAGTGATGTCTGAATGGCATCTACTATCATAGACTTCAAACGTTAATATTTTTACACACCCAAAGCAAAGCAGACAATAGTTCATGTTAAGTTTTACATTTTACAAAGCAGTTTTACAATCACCTCAACCTACAGATTAAAAGACGTAGGCCCAGATGTTACACGGGCCTTGTATCTGGTTTTCCGGTTCCACCGTTTCTTCTTCCCCCTACATCGCGATTGCTAATTAATGCAAAAGTTTTTAATCGGGAAAAAATTGAGGTCGGAAAGACCTGGATGATCCTGACTGATAAGCATAACCGCCCCACATACACAGCACCCCAAAAAGACATCACCAACTCACCCCCACCATCCGCCCACCACCGAAGAGTCGGGGTGGACAAAAAGCTTACGTCAGCAGAGCGCTCCCCCGCCCTCCCTTTTCGTCCTCCACCCTTCCCGAAAGGCTAAGCTGCGCGCAGGAGCAGCGAGACAGGAACCAATGTGATTGGGCTACCCAACATCACGTGACTCCCACAAGTCGTGGGATTTGGCTCCGAGTAAACGGAAGCACCGCGCAAAAGTGGGTTTGCGCTGGGGGGAGGGGGAACTAGAAGCTTGTGGGAGGAGCTTGAGCGTTAGCGGCTGTCCCAGTTCTTCCAGCATTCGTGTCCAAGCCTTTGGTTATTGTCATACCGCTGTACATACGCCGTACTACAGCGACCAGTCGCTCGTTTGTCTGACAGGAGTAGCCGTTCGCGCGAGCGGCACCAGGGAATGGAAGCGGAGAACGTGGACAGGTAAGGCCCGGGCGGGGTGCCGCCGGTGCCGCCGCTGCCCCCGCGCCCTTCGCGCCCCTTGCGGCAGGCCCGGCGGGCGCACTCACGCACGCACGCATGCACGCACGTAGGGGTCTTTAAGTGCCGCGGGCACAGTACAAAGGCCGGGGCTGCGCGTGCGCAATGCCGGCCTTCTCTGGCCACTCCTCACCCGGACAGGTGATGCGATGACTCCGGCACCTGGACCACTCTCTTCCTTCCTTTCCGGCATTTAGCCGTCTTTGAAATGTGTTAGTACGCAACCAGCAGGTTTGTATTGATATTTCTGGTTGCCATTGTTGCTTACATTATTCTTCACCCTTCATTAAGCAAAGAGTTCTAGAGATATCGTAACACGTATACCTCCAGGAGTTTTTCTCTTTAGAATTAATAGATTTACTGTGGCTTCCCTCCCCCAACAGCGATGTCACGGGCCGCAAGATAGATAACATTGCCATACTAGAGACTATGGATAACACTCCCAAGAAGGCATCCAAAAATGTCTTCAAGTGGTCTTGGAGACGAACTTCAGAATCTACATTCAATATGCCCTTTGGAGACTGTTAGATGCGTGGAGAGAATGTTTTGTAAAAGAAATTTTGAAATTTGAACTGGCAGAAAACCAAATGAAAAACTAAAGAGTTATATATGGTAACAGTGTGTTTTTCAAAAAGTGATGACTTATATTGGGATAAAATGCCATTAGATCTACAAAGAATTATCCTCTCTGGCTAATGGGCCCTGAACTTAGGCAAGTACTCTGGGCCTGTTCATGTCTGTAAAAGGGTATCTCCGGAATCTAGTTCTGATATCCTGTGAATGGGGTGTTTTTTAGGAGTTACGTAACCAGAATAGTCAGTTTAGGAGATACATGTAGAAAAGTGGGGACTTTATCCTGACTTTGTGGATCAAATCCTGAAATAAAGTACTCCACATTTTTCCCAAAAGACTTTACAAATAAAAGAATTCACCAGAACTGTGGAAATCACTCTCACCTTTGTAATTTTACTTCAGATCAGAATTGGAACCTGGGTACAACTTACCATCAAATGAATTACATGTTATGAGACCATGTAGGTGTCTTATACAGCAAAGTAATAGGTCTCAATTACAGTGTTTAACTCAAAACTGTCTTATATTTTGCTTTCACTTCATCCATTAGGTTATAGGCCATTTTTTATTCTGACTTGCAAAACTTTAACCACAAAAAATATGGAGAATTCTGTGTTAATACTGTGAGGAGTTTATTCTTAGGGATTCTGAAGTGACAGGCCCCAGGTGATCCTGAGAAAGTGGTTCTCTGTCACCCTTACTTTGTGCTAATCAAGGAATGGAATGGAATGCTGGGTGGGTGGTAATGAATTTGTTTTTTATTTTGGAAGATTAATTTCAAAAAGTTCAAAGAAAAATTCTATGGCTATAGAACCTTTAAAAGAGAAAAGATAGTTCAAGAGTCATAACCAGCACTTAGAGGAAAAAAAAGAAGAGGATCAGTATGTTTCTAATGAGATCAGGCACGAAAAGGACACTTACCAGAGATGGCAGTAGAATGCCAAATCAGATATGACTAGAAGAGTGTGGACTGGAATATTGTGACACAGACCACTGAGAATATAGACATGAAATATTAACCCTCAGATGAGATCAGACATTCCAGAAATGTTAAAGAGACCAAGAAGAACATTTTTTAGTTTGGGATGGACAACAAGAAAGAAAAGAAAGATTTGAGTTTTCTGCCTGCTTTACTGGCATGGTGTTAACAATGACAGAAGACATAAGCACTTAGTTCTGATTTTGATTTTGCGTCTCATATGTTAAGGAAAATGATTGTAGACTGGAAATGCAAAATGAATGTAAGAGGTTTAAAGCTCAAGGTCAATGAGGGCAGTTCAAAGAACTTTTAGCTGCTGTAACAGAAATTGTATTTCCTGGCTTTGGATTTTAAGTGAGAGGCCAGATTATAGCAGTCTTTAAGAACTTATGGACAATAACAGAGGGGCCTGAAGCCTGAAAATAAACATGTGAGTCCCTATTTCTTCCAAAGATAGAATCTATCCTCTAATTTATTTACTTTGATCCTAAACAAAATATTTACTTCTCAGTGGTTATTAAGCATATTTAAAAGAAACTAGTGACCACTATACTGTAGTATAAATTCAGAAAAAAGCAAGACCAACCAAGCTAGGTTCATTCCCTTTTAGACAATAATACTAGATTAGACAGCATCAGAAGGATGATGAGGTACTTAAAATATTCAGTCATCCTGCTGTCTTTATTATTGTTACAGCAAATTTACCGTATATCACTATTTTAAGTGTTTTACATGTGTTAACTAATTTAACCCTCATAACCAATAAATTAGGTGCAACTATGCCCATTTTACAGGTGTGGAAGCTGGGACATAAAGAACTTGCCTACAGAGCTAGTAAATGGCAGATCTGAAATTTGAACCCAGGCAGTGTGGCTTCAAAAGCCTGCCTCCTTAACTGTGCCATACCTCTTTTTTTTTTGTGGGCAAGATGAAGATGGACTGATGGCAGTCTAATTACATGAAATAAAAACTGGTTTACCGCTGAGTCAAGGGCAGGCTGGAAAGAGGGCTATACTGATGTGCCATTTAGTTCTACCTTAACTTTGCTCTCTTCATAAGTTTAACAACTTTCAGGTGCTAATGAAATGTGTCAGTGACCTAACTCTGGGAGGGGTTTGTGGAATTGATAGTTGGAATCAGAATCTAGATCAACTGAACTGGCTGGAATGGTGAATCATCTTTTACAAAAAGAGGCACCATCCTGTACTTACGTACGGGAAAATTAATCATACAAGTGTGAGATGAGAGAAAGATGATAAAAGGGCAGTTTTCAGAGATGGCGAACTCAGAATGAATCAACAATATGATGTGGGTGCCAGTAACAATAATGGAATGGGTTCTGTACTGTGTCTCCATAATGAGAAACTTGATAGCCCTGCTCAGTTTCAGGATGATGAGGCTATATCTGAAGTATTTTTATTTTCTTTGCTTCTGAGCCCCCCAAAATGACCAAATCGTGAGGAACTTTGGAATCATACTGTACAAAGAGTAGTTAAATGAACTGGGGACTCTGGCTCATTCTGAATCTTTGTGTTGACAGTTTCTAGTAGATAGTGCACAGGAAGTACCCAGTACTGCATGGTGAATACACACACTCTACTTAGCAATATTGAATGTAGTTTTTTAAATAGTTACGGTGATATTCCATCATAGTTTATATAACTAGTCCTTTTTAGTTGAGCTTTTGGATTATTTAGCATCGATTGTTACTTTTGTAAGTATTCAGTGTTGTATGTGCTGGTTTAAATGAAAATAATAAAATGTTCCTATAGACTGAATATATCCTTCCAGAATTCATATGTAGAAACCTACCCCTCAATATGATTGTATTTGGAGGTTAGGGGCCTTTGGGAAGTGATTAGGTCATGAGGGCAGAGCCCTATAAAGTGGCATTAGTGTTCTTATAAAAGAGGTCCCACAGAGACCTCTCACCCCTTCTGCCATGTGAAGTACAGCAAGAAGGTGGCCCTCTGTGAACCCGGAAGTGGGCCCTCACCAGACACTAACTCTGCTGGCACCTTGAACATGGACTTTCCAACCTCCAAAACTGTGAGAAATAAATTATTTGTTGTTCATTAGCCACCTAGTCTATGGTATTGTGTTATAGCAGCCTGAATGGAATAAGACAAATATATTTAGAAAGAGCAACTTAAATCTTTAAAATAGTGGAAAATAACTGTAGATTAGAAAAGTTGGACTTGTTCATTTTAGAAAAAAAACCTTACAGAGTTAGTTTTTAAAATACAGCAAAATCTGAATTAACTGGACTCCTCAGTTGTGTGCGTGCACGTGTGTACACCCATGTGTGTATGTTTTGGAAAAGGCTATCAGAAAATACACAGTTCATCAAATTCAGACAGTTATAAAAACCAATCCTCTGAGCACTGTTACTCAAGAGAAAGGGAGAGGAAGCTATGGAGGGTAGGAGAGAAGGAAGGGTTAACAGCAGGGAAAAGAGGTAGTACAGAACAGTTGTGGGAACAAACATAAATGATAGGGAAAAAAGCGAACTAGGGGAAATAAAATCATTCATACTTACAAGTTTGATATCAGGGTGTTTTAGAAAATAAAAACTCTTTGGGGCGCATCCAGAGTCTGGACAGATTTGGTTCGATTTCCTACACATTCTCCCTGTATCACCAAATCTCACCCCTCATTTTCATGGTAAGGGACCACAGGTCCTAAAAGGATGAACGACTTGACTAAGTGCTCTTTTGTTGCTGTTTCTTAGACAATTATTGTTCATAAACATTGCAGAATTCTGAATTATGAAGTGACTTTTACCATGTATAAATACAACAAATGTATTTAAGAAATATTGTCACAGTAAAGTTGAAAGAGATTATGCTGATTACAAATATAACTATTATGAGATAAAAGAAAATTATATTATCCAGAACTCTTTAACTTCCCAGCCTTCAAGTTCATGAATGCTTTTGTACAGAGGTAATGCTTTCTTCTGCCAAGTAATTAAGAGTGTTGTAATCCACTTTCTTTCCTTTTGTTCTGGCTATTAAGAAGCTGTTATGATGATCAGGCTAAAGTTAAGGTTCAAAGAGCATATATTTGCACAGAACTTACACATTCTATTTTCCATAGCTTCATTTTTTTTTTAATTTCTGTTCTTATTTAATTCACCAAAAAGTGCCAGAGATCATTTTTAGAAGATTAAGGGAAACATCAGTATTATAGATACATTTCTAGATTCCTTTCAAAATTGATATGTATCTCTAAAATAAACTCCAGGTTTTTTTTTTTTTTTTAATCTTCATTTCCATCAACTGATTTTGAAAATACTAATTTTCACTTTCTGAGCCTCAGAATTTCTAAAGATGCTGAATGACCCCTAAATATGCTAAGGGAGCCACATTTTATAAATTTATTTTTTTAAAGTTCAGAACCTTTTTGTAATATGAAGGGCGGCTCCCTAATTTATGTATTTTAAGTTTGGATTTTTGTGAAGTGCTCAAAATGGGACGCATCTGTGAAACTCAGAGTGGTAGGTTGCCTTCCTGACAGTGTGACCAGACTAAGAACAGACCTCATGCATTCTTTTGGCCACTCATTTATTGTGACCACACATCTTTACTCATATATTACAGCTGAAAGAGGCTGTTATTGTCTCGGTAAAACTGCCACTGGCCACAACCAAAAGTCACAGTTTGTTTTATTAGCATTTCCAGATAGTAACTGCACACGATCTCACAATGTAACCTAGCCTTATCCAACTTCTCATTAGAATATTTAAATCAGAAATATTGAGCAACCAACATTTTGACAATTTATTGAAAAGAGCTATGAGTAGTATTAAAGAAAAGTGTGAAAAAAGGACATTTTACGTTATACTGGCTACTGTTTAAGCACTTCACTTCTCTTCATTTTTACATTTTAACTTCTTGTCTACATATTTTCCCTATATGTAGCCTTAGTTTACAATACTATTTTGTATTTTTTTCCCCACTTTAAAATATACATTAAACGAACGTGGTTCCATAGTATAGCGGTTAGCACATCTGCTTTACACACAGAAGGTCCTCGGTTCACACCCCAGTGAAGCCACGGTCCATGGTCTACGGCCATGCCACTCTGAACAAGCCCCATCCCGTCTGGCAGGGTCGGGCCTGGTTAGTACTTGGATGGGAGACCACCTAGGAAGACCAGGTGATGTAGCCATAAATAATAATAAATAAATAAATAAAATATGCATTAAACATTTTCTGTGCTTTTACAGAATATTAATACATTTAATTTTTAGGAGCTGCATCATATTTTCTCATTAATTTTTATTGAGTCATATCATTTTTTAATATAATTTGAGAACAATATATTTAAGGAAATAAAATTCTTAAGATCCAGTTTAATATTTTCCCACTAATTTGTAACCTTTTTAAAATCAACTTACTCTTAAAGATTGCTTGAAGTAAAAATGCCTCTGAGTGGTTTGTCCGTTGTGTAAACGAGATTGGGCCCCTGTTTTTCTTTGAGAATCTAACATCCAGCCCAACCACCATAGACAGTCTGTTACCCTGTACCTGTGTCAGCCATTTACCCTTTTCCAAGGGAATGCTTTAGTTTGCCTTTTTAAAAAACAATTTTATTAAGGTCTGATTTACTTGCTATAAAGTTGACCCATTTAAAGTGTGCTTGCTGCTAGTTTGCCTTTTTAATCTCTACTTTCCGAGCTCCCGGCCTTCCTCCACATTCATAGAGAAAGAAAACTAGTGAGTAGAGCATCTTGCCACAGAAAATAGGACTTTTCTCTTCAAATGGTCAATGGCACTTGTCTACTTTATTTCTTAGTGTTTTTTTCCCCTATTACCTGTTTAGTGGTATTATTTGAGTTTCGTAAAATGTGTTTACTTCCATAACTTTGTGCTCTTGCAGCCGCTTGAGAGAGTCATTTGTGGTCATCAGAAATATTTTTTGGAAATTGTTTTCTGGGAAGGCCTAAGTCCCCTACAATGAACAAAATACTCAGAATATTTTGAACAGAGTTCAAATAATGTTCAGAATAGAGGTTTAGAGTGGATTTTCCTGTAGATTTGTAGACATTTACAAAATATCCATTTCTAGTCCTCAGTGCCAAAAAGCAAAAACCCAGCAACAATTAAGAAACAGAGCCAATGAAAAAATAAATAAACAGGCAAATAAACCAACAGAGAACTTTAAATTGGAGGAAGGGTGACTACATGGTGACATGGTGACTATAGCTAATAACACTGTATTACATACTTGGAAGTTGCTAAGAGAGTAGATCATAAATGTTTTTACCATAAAAAAGAAATGGTAATTATGTGACTTGATGGAGTGTAAGCTTAAAGCTGTGGTTGCAGTCACTTTGCAGTAGGTAAGTGTATCGAATCAACACATCATACACCTTAAACTTATACATTATATGTCAGTTTTATCTCGGTAAAGCTGAGAAGGGGAGTTAGGCTGCCGGGGCAGTTAGAGTAGAGGGGATCTTTGTGACAAGAGGAGTGCATACTGAGGGTAGGAACACAGATTGCTTTTGTGGACATTTTAACCCTGTTTGGTGGCCTTTCAAGTTTCTGTACTAGAAAGTTCCCATTTCAGAGAAAATACAGGCTGACTTGACAGGACTGGTAAGTTTTATTGATCACACATCTTGTCATTAAACCATGTGAGAGTTAATTAATGTTTGGTTAGTAGGCACTCAGCAAAGGTGGGGTGAATGTGTACATATGAGCCTAGATCTTCCTCCTCTCTTTTCACCTATTTTCAACTCAAAATAAACACTACAGTCTGGTTTCAAAATATTTGGATACTGAAGATTTTTTTTAGCTAGTCATTAAACTTACATTTGGGTAATTTTATCCTCATGTCTTATATTCTTTCAGCTGTTCACTGCAGCAAGCTCAAGCTTTTTATTCATTGCCATTTCAACACATGATGGCCGAAGCCCCTGATATGGAAGTTACGAATGAACAGCAAAGGTCAGCAGAAGTTCCAGACCCAGCTCCTGCTCAGGAACCTGTCCAAGGTAGTTTTCACTGGGACAGGACAGAAAATTAGCTCTTGGATCAGCCAGTTTATTTAAGAAAGGGTTTAATGATAAATTTTAGCTTGATTTTAGTGTTAAAAATTTGAATCCACTTTTTAAGTACTTAGTATGTTCCAGGTACTGCAATAGATTTGGGGGGAATAAAAGAATGTGGATCCTGCCATGAAATGTCTCATAATCTAGTAAGGGAAAATGATAAGTCAACACACATTTTGCCTCAACACACAAAGCAATGAAGAGGGCATAGGATGCTGGGAGAGCTCACGGGGTTGGCACCCAGCTCGGATTGAGGCTCAGAAGCAGCTTTTCAGACCTCTAAAACTCAAAGGTGAGGAGACTTTATCCTCATGAAGAATGAGATGGGGAAAATTCCAGGCCGAGGGAGCAGCATGTGCCAAAGCACAGACACAAAGAAGCATGACATGGTGATTCCCTGTCATTAGAGTCTGGAGTATAGCAAAGAAATAGTGTTTAACCTAAAGAGTATATATCCTGTCCTGAAAGCAATAGTGAATAGAGAGCTGTTAAAAGAGTGTAAGCAGAGGATGACTTAAATATAATAGTATTTTAAAATATCAGCCTGGACGTATTACAGAGGATAGATTGGATGGTAGAGAGCAAGCAGAACTTGGAGGCAAAGAGTGGATTAGAGACAATAATCCAGGGACGGAATGAGGACCTGAAGGGGTGGAGAAGGACAGAATTAGGAACTACTCAGAAGGTGGCATTACTTGGCCATGGTAAATGGATTTCATGTGGGGAACAAGGGAGAAAGAGGAATCTGGAAGAAACTCCTAGGTAATTAGGATGAAGGAGATAACTATTCACCAAGACAGAGAATTAGAATAAGTTTGGAGGTTGGGAGGGTGGAGAGAAGGTAATGATTTTTTCCAGTGTAGCAATATCGTAGGAGAAACGTGTTCACGGTTCCAGTTTATGATTCCAGGAACACTTCTGACTCCGCTGCATTGGAGCTACCTCTGCCCTTGGCTCTTGTTCTGGGCAGGCAGCACCAGGGCTTCCCCAGCTACAAGCCAATGGATGTGGACCCTTCGGCATAGGGAGTGGCTACAGCAATGTGAGGCAGAAAAAGGGAAGGACGGGAAGCCGGGTTGGGGAAATGCAGGAGCCTGAGAGATTATGAGAGGTGTTGAAGAACAGGGTGAGAAAACCAAGGCTTCCTGTTGGATATGTTAGGTCAGTGGTTCTTGGCCAGGGGCGATTTTTCCCCCCAAGGGACATTTGTGTTGTCTGGAGACACCTTTGATCATCATGACTGACAGGATACTGCTGGCATCTAGTAGGCAGACGCCAAGGTTGCTGTTAAATATAGAATGTTAAATATTCTATAACGTACAAGACAGGCCCCCACAACCAAAAATTATTCAGCCTAAAATGTCAGTACCGAGATGGAGAAACTCTACTTTAGGTCCTGATTTCAGATCCCTCGTCTTGCCTTTCGAAAAAATCTTGCCAGCTAGAGATTTAATCCTCCGCATCTCTAAATTCACCTCTTCGACTGTGTGTAGAATAGAATAGCCGTCTGAGGTTTTGTCTCCTGCTAGAAATTTGGGGGAAATTGAGTTCAGATGTTTCCCTTTCTCCTTGTCTTTCTCTTTATTCTTTCATTCATTTACTTAACTATTTATGTATTTACATTTAGAATTCTTATACATAGTGTGTAGATGTTTTGCATCCGTGGGGAGGCCAAGATGCCAGGTAGGATTGTGTGGAAAATCAGTCATTGGTTATTATGGACATTTCATCCCAAGAACAGCCAGTGGAAAAAGGAAGGTGAAGGATGAGGCCACATGAACTATGTTCTAATGTGAAACAAGGGGAAGATATTGCAGAGAAGACTGATGTTGGGAAGTAGATAAAAAGGATGTTGATTGGGTGACTTTTCTGAGAAAGCTGCCTAAAGTTTATAATTACAGTTTTCTGCATCTGCATCCTGGAAATCATTGTGTTTCAGAGACTCCAAAAGGAAGGAAGCGAAAACCCAGAACAACAGCACCAAAAAAACCAGTGGAACCCAAGAAACCTGCTGAGGCCAAAAAATCTGCTGAGGCCAAAAAATCTGCCAAGTCCACCAAATCAAAAGAAAAGCAAGAAAAAATTACAGACACGTTTAAAGTGAAAAGGAAAGTTGACCGTTTTAATGGCGTTTCAGAAGCTGAACTTTTGACCAAGACTCTCCCAGACATTTTGACCTTCAATCTGGACATCGTGATTGTAAGGATTTTTGTCCTCCTTTGGTTTTATAAATAGCATTGGTGGATTCATTAGCTTTCCTTGCAAATAATTTTGCTGAAAAGAACCTTTTCTAACAGTCCTTTTGGTATTTAAATGGTGTCACCTTCATGAGATGGTTTTATATGAGAGTGTTTAAGAGGGTGGGCTCCAGACTGGGCTGCCTGGTTTCCAGTCCTGCCACATGGATGTGACCATAGATAAGGATGTGACCCTTAACTGTCACTGGTGAAATGGGTGATAACAGTGCCTCCCTCATAGGGTTGCAGTTAAATAAAATAATCCATGTGAATCATGTAGATTACATGACACCTGTGAGTTCTCCATAAGTGACAACACTGATTTTGAACTTTGGTTTTTATCCATAATTTTAAGAAACATCAGCATACAAACACCTGTAGATGATGCAGAGTAAGCTGCTTTTGGAGAGTTGAGAAGCAGACTTGTGACTGGCCCTGGGCTCGGGTTGGCTGGTCGCTGCAGGACCTCGCTCTTTCCATCCCAGTTGTGTGGGGCTGGGGGCCAGGGGATATGAAGAGGCGAAACTGGTGTTTAAAAACAACAGCAACACTTTTAATTTACAGGCAACTTGTTTCCTCAGAATGGAATACTTTGTTTAGATCAAGAGTAGGCAATTGGTAAACAATATTGCTTGTGATGTCGGATTGAATTTTTACTTTAATAAATTTAGTTTTGCCCACCACTGCTCCACGGAAACCCCAAGGCTTAAAGCCTACTTTTCAGGACTAAAACATATAAACATTTTTCGTAGATCGGCATAAACCCGGGACTGATGGCTGCTTACAAAGGGCACCATTACCCTGGACCTGGAAACCATTTTTGTAAGTGGTTACTTTTTTTTATTATTTTACTTTTAAACTAGATTATCTTTGTTAATAGTTTACTGGTTTTTTTCTTAAACCAAATTGTGTTTTTAATAAGAGAGATTTTATACGTGTATAAATAACCATATGCGTTTTCCATGTGTGTGCACAAAAGTCAAAGGTTTGAAATGATATGTCACTGTTAACGTTTCGGTTTATGAGAGCCATGGAGAGGAATACTTTCTCTTGTTTGAATTATTTCAAATGAGTTTTACTTTCTTTTTTTTTAAAGATTTTTTTTTTTATCTACAGACATAGTAACAATATGTTGTACAAATATAGACAGAATATCGACCTTTCCAAATTTCTACTGATCATGTTTCTTAGGAAAGATGAAATGCCTTGATCAGTGGCAGTCAAGTCACAGTAGTTAAGAAATACTGTGATTAGAGAGATGCTCTACAGGTACTTTGTATCTAACAGAAAATAGTATTAAAGACCCTCATCCTTGTAGAGTGAGCTTTAAAACCAAGTATAACTGCTGTTTTATTGTCCTGTATATGTAAGTCACCTTACCTAACACTGCCTAATAGGACTAGGCATGCAGAAGGCCTTCAGGAGATACAAGCTGGTTATCTAAGTAACATTAAAAACACTTAGGGTAAATGATAGTATGTGTTTTTGGAACTAATAACATATTGTCTCTATTTTTTTTTAAGTTTTCTTACGAAGTTTGAACCTTTCATTTTCTCCACAGTCAGAGTGTTTGAATGTTGAATCCGTTGATGTCTATTTATTTGTTTGAGGTATTCCAGGGGCAGGTGGTGGTATCACCAATTATAAGAAAAGAAAACAGACCATTTCAGAGTTTCCTACACTAACTAGCTGTGTATTCTTGACAGGCATTTACCTTAACCCACTGCGTAAAGGTGATAATAATAGTTATATCTCCTAAGATAATTATGATTAAATGAGATAATCCATGCAAAGGGCTTATCATAGTAATGTAGTACCTTCTTGATATGGTATTTGACCTATTTTATAATCTTTTTTTTTTTTTTTGAGAATAGACTGTAGACTGCCACATGAATCCATAGGGCAAAAACCTTTGACATTCTACAGAAATAAACTGAACCCTCTTTTTCACAGGGAAGTGTCTCTTTATGTCAGGACTGAGTGAGGTCCAGCTGAACCATATGGATGATCACACGTTACCAGGAAAATATGGTATTGGATTTACCAATATGGTGGAAAGGACGACACCGGGTAGCAAGGATCTTTCCAGGTAATTATGTGACACTTATTGGTTGGAACCTTGACCATTCTGGTGCCTCATGGACTCTAGGAATACCATATGTATCTAGTTCAAGTTGAGCTTAACAAGGAGTATATGAATTGATCTTTTGGTGAAAGCTATCTGAATTTAACCATATTATAAATATCGCCAAACTTATATTTTGACTACTTTTTAATTCAATTTTAGTAAAGAATTTCGTGAAGGAGGACGTATTCTAGTGCAGAAATTACAGAAATATCAGCCACGAATAGCAGTGTTTAATGGAAAATGTAAGATTTTCTTTTAAATTTCATCTTTTTTCTTTAATAACATTATGGGCAATGTAAATATGTTTGTATTTCATTTTAGGTATTTATGAAATTTTTAGTAAAGAAGTTTTTGGAGTAAAGGTTAAGAACTTAGAATTTGGACTTCAACCCCATAAGATTCCAGACACAGAAACTGTAAGTCCTTAAAATTACAAGTGTAAATCACCTAAATATGAATCTTTTTTCTAGCTAGTTTTCCCTTTTTATTTGTCATATCCACTGTAATTATGCCATGAAAAAAAGACCACACTGTATTTTATTAAATAATATCTATCAACTTGAACTAATAGTTGCAAATTAATTCAGATACTGTTATAGTTTTGTTAGAACAAGAAACATTTATCAGATAAATATCTTAATGGCTAAAATACTGAGAGGAGTTGGCTCACTACATTCACAATGTATTTAATGGCATAGTCTTAATCAAACTCAAGTGGGTTAGCCCTTATTCAGTTGTGAAACAAATATGTAAATATAGACGTCTTGATTAGTGAAACTGCTGATTCCCTTGTTTATATATATCGGTCCCCTTTCATTTTAGAGTCACGTACTAGTACAGTCCCATTGCAGACATATCCAGCCAGCCTGACTGGCACTTGGTGCTATTGTCTTACACGTAAAGGTTCACGAAATAACTCAGTAGTATTCAAATTTTATCGTTTCTGCAGAGCTTCTGCAGACATTTAGTTCAAATTTTGTTTCTTAAATATAGTTTTAAGTTTTGTTTACAGCTTTTTAAAAAACAACACACATGCACAGACCCATGTGTTATAGATAGCATTTCAAGTGATGGAGAAGCTGCTGTGCTGACAGGTGTTTGTGGAGACCTCAGAATAAAGTTTCTGCCACCTACGTACATTTGAACTTCCCATTTTTAAATTTCTTCTGTTTTTAATTTCGTATGAATACGCAGTTGGTAAAGTAGGTTGTAGCACTGATCTTTCTTTAAATTGAGGCCTACCCTCATCTACTCGGGTAAAATTGTACAAATGAGTTTGCTACTTCCTATAGAATACTGAATTATTGCCCCTTCAATGCCAGATGAGGCTCAGTCAGGTACATTTCTTAAATATGTGATCATAGTAGTACAATAATAAGTGAATTTGAATCATATCATGATAGGTCATTTAAGCTCTAATAATGAGCTGTGAGTAAAATTATCTTTTAAAATTTATTCTTATCATAAAATATTCACAGTTATTGATAATGTTAGTGGTTCATCTTTGAAACAAAAAAATCTTTTTCAAATTTCTGAATCATTTTAATTGAATATCTTGAGATTAGAAAATGTGCTGTTATGAACCTGGTAGCATTTGCACGTACATATCTTTGTGAATCAGTATTTTCTAGATGCTTCATAAACAAAACAAAATAAGTAATATTTTTTTCTGTAATACATGGTATGGAGGCCAATTTAAAAATTGTAGAAATTGCAACTGAAAACTCTATAATCTAGTAGCCTTCCTCTTTTATACATAAAAGAGGTACATAGTTATGTATTTTGTTATGTTCTGTGAAGGACTGTTTGTTGCCATCATCCAAAATGATAAATGTAAAAGTCTTTCTCCCTAGCCATTCCATTTCTAGGAATTTATCTAATAGATATGCTCACACATATTCTAAATCAAATATGTACAAGGGGTTTTCACTATAGCTTACAGTATTAAAAGATTAGAAACAACCTAAATGCCCACAGTTGGGCTCTGGTTAAATATATATGAAAAGTACTACACAGAAAAAAAGTTCTTTTTACTCTGATAAAGATATCCGATAGAGAATTTTCTCCAAAGCAAGGTACAGGACAGAGAATAGAGCATGTTACCATTTGTGTGTGTTTTTGAAGCAGGGAGGGGGAATACACATTTCAGACACATTTGATTTTATATTTATGGAACACTTCTGGAACTAGCAACTTTGATTGCCCTTGGGGAAGAGAACCACGTAGAGAATCAGGAGGCAAAACTTTTCATTGTAAACTTAAATGCCTTTTCTGCCTTTAGAATTATGAACCATATATTTATTATTAAGAAGAAAAGACAATTGATAGGTGAACATTGTGGGGGTGGAGTCTCATTGTTTTTGATTTATCGACTTTGTAATAAGTAGGTATTGCAATTTTCAATGCAAATATCTACTTTTATTGGTTTTGCATATATCAATACATGGCAAGTATCAAGTTATTAACTCCAAGAAATTTTCTAATCTCAATATGAATGGATTCAAAAGAATTATAAGATTCCTATAACTACAAAATTTTACGATTCTAGCTCTGCTATGTTATGCCGTCATCCAGTGCAAGGTGCGCTCAGTTTCCTCGAGCCCAAGACAAAGTTCATTACTACATTAAGCTGAAAGACTTAAGAGATCAGTTGAAAGGCATTGAACGAAACACAGATGTTCAAGAGGTGCAATATACATTTGACCTGCAGCTTGCCCAAGGTGTGTCACCATTATCAATCCTTGTGTTCATTTCATGTATATATATGTTAAAGAAGGTATGTCGTGGATTTAAAAGCAGGAGAAAATTATATTTGCAGGCAGAGTGGTCTTATAATGGGTCCTAGGGTGTTGAAATATTCCTTTCCCAAGGTCTTCTATCTACTCTAGGCGCTCCTGCAGATATTGACAATATGAGAAGCATAGTAGCCCACCTACAGTTAAATCTTATAGGCTTTTATAGTTCTTACGAGGTAATTTGGTATATATTACAAAGAGTTTGAGAGAGTATAGCAAAAGGTGTATCTCGGTATACATGAACATTCAAGAAAAAGATTGCTTCATCATGATTTCTGAATAAAGCTATTTTTAAATTGTTGTACAAAATCAGTTTTAATTCCCTTTTACTCTCCTCACAGAGGATGCAAAGAAGATGGCTGTTAAGGAAGAAAAATATGATCCGGGTTATGAAGCAGCGTATGGTGGTGTTTATAGTGAAAATCTGTGCAATAGTGAACCTTGCAGTTTCTCTTCAAATGGGCTGAGTATGTTCCCCTCCCTGTGTTTGTTCCTTTCAAAGACTTGGTTTTGTCAGGATTGGGCAAAATAAAAATTTAAGAGTAGATTATTGAAGAATGGGAATGGTAATATAAAAATGTATTAAGTGACTTATAGAGAAAATCTGATGGTTATTTAATGTTTACACAAACTTTTACAGCTCATTTTTTTAAGTCACTGATTCTAATAAGCCATCCTAGTTGCATTTCCCTCTTTAAATAACAAATGAGTATTTATTAGTTCTACATCTAAAGATAGAACAGAAACTTATAATTGTGTTCAAGAAGTTTGCTTAATTATTTTAATAACAGTTTTCCTTCACTGGACAGTTAAAATTTCCTAATACGATCATCTGAAGCTTTTAAGGAAAATAAACTAACATTCTTTTCTTCCCCAGCAGCTGACAGTGGAGAATCAACTTTCAGTGACATTCCGAATGGGCAGTGGATGAGCCAGTCATTTGCAGACCAGATTCCTTCCTTTAATAATCACTGTGGGACGCAAGGACAGCAGGAAGGAAACCACGCTTAAGAACAGTGTTTCTCAGCTCTACTCAGATGCCTCAGTTTTAATGCAATTATCAAGAACTGGCCTTCAGTTTGCTGACTGAAGTATTTTATTAGTGTTTTACTCTGGTGATATAATCATAGTACAGTTGTGTGGTAGAATCAACTGTATGAATCTATGTAGTTTGGAAGGAAAAAAGTAGGGTTTTTGTATATGAGTTTTTGTATTTGAATTAACCGTCATTCCAGCATTTTATAAACTGTTTTTCATTTCTGAAGAAATTGGTTTTCTTTAGGGAGTCACTTTTAATCTAATTTTGAAATGCTACAGTCTGAATTTTTATACTTGATTTTTAACTGTGCATAAACTCAGATGCACCATTATTCCTTTTATGCCTAAGAAGGGCATGCTAACAATAAGAATTACCACCGGTAAAGAGGCAAATGTGTTGATTTTCATATGTGAAGTTAAGCTTCAGCAGAGTCTCATTTGGTAGTTTTTAGTGGAGTTTGCTGGGCTCCCTGAGTCATAGTCATACTCAGAACTCTTTGCTTTACCAGTGGTGAACATTTGTGAGCGTTGCTTAGTAGTGCAAATATGGAGTGTGGTCTTGCAGCAGCAAGGCTAACCTGGCCTTACCTGACAGGGCATTGAGCCCTGACTTGGGCCCTCCTCACCCCCTGTGTTAATCTTCTAGCAGGCAGAAACTATTCTGCTGGAATGGTAGGTTCCAGAGAATGTAGCTGACCTTTTAAATTTTACTTCATCTGTGTTTTACTTGAGAGATATACATTTGATAGGGAAGGAACTGAATTTCTCAAAATCATTGTTCGAATTTTATCCTCCTTGGCTTTTAAAGATGTAACATGGAAAGTGATGAGAAAAGAACTTTCAGGCTGAGCAACCAAGATGCTGGAGGTGTTTGATAATCTTATTTAAACTGGTGCTTTATGTACATGAAATGTACTAATATAAACAATGTTTCTTGCTAGGTAAATCTAATAAGCCAATCATTTTAAAAATTCTTTCTCTGCATCATTGCTGTTTGTTACTGTGGACTGAGTGAATCTCATGGCGAGGCTGGTTTGAAGTAATGTACCTTTGTGATTTTCTAATGCATTTTCTATGGTGCTACAAATAGTCCAGACTACTAGGCCTGGTGGATATAAAGCTGGGTACTTGGAAATGCCATTTGCATTTACTCCCGATAACTTATACCCAAGGAGCATGCTTTTCAACATGAAAATATTTATCAAGTGTGTTTTTTTTCTAAGATGTTATATGGCCTATTCTTTTTATAATAAGAAAAATCCTTATTGTGAATCTTAAGATGCTTTTTAGCTGTGGCTATGATGGATTTATTTTTCCTTTAGGTCAAGCTGTGTAAAAGTCATTCATGTTATTTAAATCATGTACTGTACTCCTGTTTACACGGATGTTTTGTGCAGGTGCTTTGAAGAGCCTTACATCAGGGATTAGGAACAACTGAATTATTTTTTCATGGGACTATGTAAAGCATGTAACTAGGTATTGCTTTGGTATATAATAATTTGTAGCCTTACAATGGATTTTTTTTTATTTAAGTGGAGAAAATACCCTTTAAATTATGATGGACACTCAGTAGAGAATGGGTCTGAGGATTTTCCAAGCATAAAACAAATAATGGTGTTTTTCATTAAATATGACAGATGAGTAGTACATGTTAATATATCCTATCTGTGACAATATGAGACTTTTTCATTGAGTAATTTTGAAAGTTTTAAAATTCATTTGAAAGTCTGATGGTTTTTACAATAAAAAAATATTAAGAATGATTACTTTTAAGTTGCAGGCTTTTCTGTCATAAGATTTACTGTTATTCTTTCCCCCTTTACACCTGAGATCAGTCTGCTGTCTATTATACTTCACGTGTAGGACCCTCTATATTAATGAAAATTATTAAAAATCTATGACTTTTATTTTTTCAAACATTCAGGTTTTAAATGTAATACAGAAGACAAGATTGACAATGTCTTGTGAAAAATACATTTAGAAATTTAAAAAATTTTTAGATGCAAACTGTCAATGAGTTAAGCAAATTGCTGAAACGCAGATGAGTTTCCAGCAATATATTTTACTCACATAATCTTGATTTCCAAAATTACCACTTATACCTAAGGAAGTAAATCGATAACCTGTATGATCCAAGTATTATTTGTACACAGTTTTTTTTATATTGTGGATCATAACTTATGATGACATTCATATTAATATATGAATATTTTACCACAATAAGTGTATCAAAGATACTGTTCATAAAGAATGATGTTCTAGTAGGCTACAAATGGACAAGTCCACATTTTTACACAGAAAATATCTAAAACGTCAAGTTGCATCAGCTACTGTGGTGACTAAGCTGAAATATCCCCGCAGGGTCAGGAACAAACCAGCTTTCCCACAGGTCGTTGTGCACGCTGGGGAAGTCCCAGGGTTTGTGTCTTCCATTCCAGTGGAGCAGTTTTGCCTCTTGCAGAAAATGCTCCGAATATCTGGTATCGGGATTCCAGCCTTCATTGTGTTTAGAGAAAAATAATAGGCTTGTTAGAAAATAAAATGTTCATATTAATTATTGAATATAGGTTCATTATTTCAAAAGTTAAACAAATCAAAGAATATACAATGAAGACTCTACCACGTACTGAAAATCTCCCAAATAACCACTGTTAAGAGTTTCTCATGAAATCCTTTCAGTAACGTTCTACCTGCACACCAGTCTGGAGGTAAATATGTGCATGTATATGTTATATATGTGTGTGTGTGTATATAAACACATTTTTTAATTTATTCGTAACTTGCCTTTTTAAATTACTGTCTTAGGAAACTTTCCACACCAGCACATATGGATTTATTGAATTATTTTTAATGACTACATAGAATGAATATATGATGATTTAGCAGGTTCCTTCTCAGGGACATTTAGGCTGTTTCTGTCCCTTCACTAGCATAAACAATGCTAAATGAACAGTCTTCCATGCATGTCTTGTGCATGTGTATAAATATATCTGTAGGATAAAATCTTGTAGCTGGAATGGCTAGATTGAAAGGTGTGTACCTTTTTGATAGGAGGTTGCCAAATCGTCCCCAGAAGGGTTTATAAGTTTCCCTCCCACCTAGAGTTTATAGTTGTTTTTCTACGTTTTCCCTCAACATTTTCCTTTAAGTGGTCTTATTTTTACCACGTAAAATAACTAAGATTAAGATCTACTTTTTAACAAACAGCTATCTTCATTTGAGTATTAGTCCCCTCATAAGAAATCACTTAGAGACTGTATTTACCCTAATATTGCCGTTGCTCAGAATATTTGTAGAATATCTCTTCCAAAAGTATGTTAAGATCTTGCGAATGTAAATCTTTTTTTAAGATATCCTGTATAGTGTTAAATTTTCTTTCTAAGAAAAGGAATTTTATACTTTTAAAAAACCAAAAGTCCACTGAGTAAAGAGAGAGAGAGAATACCTAGATTTTGTTATTCTAGTTTAACATATAAGAAAAAAAACGTCCTGTCTTACATTATTCATAAACATAGCTGTGAAGGCAGTTGCAGCAGAAGAGCTTGGTGTTGCAGGCAATAGAGGCCTAATTGGAAAAATTATCAACTTCCAAAGAATCTACAAAGGCGATGCTCACTGGGAAGAGGCACCTTCATGTGAGAAGTCATCACAGAGTAGGACAGCATCTTTCAGCTGAAGGACTGCGTACGGACTTGAGATTTTGCTTTTAGCTAAGTATGTTTCATAAATTTTTTAAATCTTAAGCCTCCCTGTTGAGGCTCAAACTTAATACCCATGAGCGTTAACATTGCTTTCTGCTTTCAGAACACTCTAAAACTGAGTCATTTTTCAAATGATCATTGTGTAGATTTACTTTGCAAATCGTCCCTGATTCCAAAACTTTCAGCACAGAATAGGTTCTGTTCTACAAAGAAAAATGACTTCTTTCCCTTGGGAAGATCCTGCTCCTTCCTACTACTTGTCGATAAGTTAGATGTTTCACAAAATGTAATTCTGAGTGTCTGTTCCAAGGTCATAAAATAATCTAACCTTATTGATCTAAGTTCTGCATAGTTTTTCTTACACAATATTTCTTAAAGACATTCTCCTTTGATGGGATTTTCTGCACATTCATTACATGGATATGTTGATATTTGGCTTAACAGTGAACTCAATATTATTATAAATCAAATCAGACAGAACAATAGTGTCCTTAACATCCCTGTGTCACTCTTAACATGCATACAGATGCTCAGGAAAATCAGGGAAGATTCTGGTAATGAGGCAGAAGCAAATCTATAAAGAAGAAGAGACAAGAACCCAGCTTCCACCATTTTTTCTGTCCTTTCTCTGTCCTAGAGAGTAAGGGACATACCACCTTGCAGGATTATTCTCAAAATTAGAAATAATGTTCACCTTTATCACCGGAACCTAGCTCAGTTCTTGTCAGTGCAGTAGATACCTGGTAAAAATAAATCCATTGTCTCCAATTCTAAAATAATCCCCAAATGTCTGAAAAAAAAAGATTTGTAATAACTTCTTTGGCAGCAAAACCTAGATCCCACTCAGGGTATTGTAGAACATAAGTATATGCACCACATTACCTTTTTTTAAATTCAAAAGCTTTCTGAATTTCTAAACAGGTCTGGCCAGTGGTTTTGGCTAATGGGTTGTGGCCATCTCTCTGAATGAATGTAAAAGTGTTCTGTACCTAGCTCAGTTCTAAGCAATTCACAAATATTTGGTAATCAATTCCTTACCAAAAAAAAAAAAAAAAAAAAAAACCTTTATAAGGTTCTATAAGCTTCATTTTACAAATGAAAAAACGAAGGCACAGAGAGTTTGAGTAACTTGCCCAAAATCATAGGTAGTAGCAGAGTTGGGATTTCAACCCATACCCTAGAGCCTGCACTCCTGTAGTGAAGAGTGAATAAGTGCCTGTTAGGGGACTCACAGCACACATCATCAGTAAACAACTTCTTTTTAAAAGATAAATTGACAGTTGTCTAAATGCATCATAAGCCATTATGCTAATTCATTTGGTTTTGTCCACTGTAGCTACTACAAAAGTTCAAGAAAGGTATGTGAAAAAGTTTTGATGATGAAAGTTCTAAATAGTTAATGTTTATCTGGCACACACTATGTGCTAAGCATGAGTCTAATTGCTTTTTGTGAATTCCTAGAAACACAACTCTAGGGTAGTTAATTTTTATCAGTTGCATTTGCAGAATCTGAGCAATGAGAGCTAACGGATCCAAGGTAATCTCCAAGGTCACCTGGAGCAGTGGTCCCCAACCTTTTTGGCACCAGAGACTGGTGCTCCTATGAGAAGTTAATGCCTGAGGATCTGAGGTGGAGCTGAGGCGGTGATGCTAGCGCTGGGGAGAGGCTGCAAATACAGATGAAGCTTTGCTCGCTCAACCACTGCTCACCTCCTGTGGTGCGGCCTGGTTCCTAACAGGCCATGGACCAACGGGTACTCCCCAGCCCGGGGGGTGGGGACACCTGACCTAAGAGATTTGAATTGAGGAAGCTGGTGTGAGAGCACACTTTTCCCACCTTGGTGCTCACTGGGTCTATAAAATGCACTTTTCTGTTGTTTTTCTGAAGTACTTACCCAGGTGCCTTATGTGCCACAGGGGGTTGATAGTGGAGTATTTCCCGTGAAATACAATCAGCATCGGGGAGGTGGCCACACCTCCACCCAGGGAGCTGCTGTAGAGATTTTCCCTAAGAAAAGGGATAAAGAGCTAGTGACATTTGGTCTGGAGCCCCACAGATTCACATCAAGTAGAATCTAATAATTTTAAAGGAGGTAAGACAGTCTCTCACTATATGATAAGACTTTCGCTTTTTATTTTGAAAATTGTCAAACCTATACAAAATTATAAAAAGAATACCATGAACTTCCATATACTTTACCTAGATTCACAGTGTTAATACTTCGCCATTTTAATCTCAGGCTTTTTTGTGGCAAATGTAGAAGATTAAGTTCTGATCCTACATTATTTAGATAACTATTCACAAATTGAAGGTTATGATGGTATTAAAAATACTCAGAAAAAGAGGAAAGAGAATACGATGATATGATCAATAGTTATCTACATTATTTAGATAACTATTCACAAATTGAAGGTTATGATGGTATTAAAAATACTCAGAAAAAGAGGAAAGAGAATACAATGATATGATCATTGTATTATGATCATATCATAATAAAACTGAGTCAGTTTTATTTTCTTTATTTAAAACTTCGGTAATAAAAAATGGCAAGTTTTTAAAACTTGGACCCTAAAAACAAAGTTGACTTTATAAAATAATCATTAAAATAAATCTATGTAAGAAGGAGGAATCTTGACTAAGATTAATGATTTTCAGTGGACAAGGTTCACTAGGATTCTCGAAGAACACTAAAAGTCATATCGTTAAACAATTTATTAGAAAAATGTTTGTATAAGAAAGGATTCCACAGGATCTTACTTCTTCTGACACGTCATTTGAGAATAAATTTTCATCTACTATCCCTTTTCTTTCTCAACTGTGCCTTTGTGAAGAAGTAGGATCTTAGATGTATGTAAAATATTTCTGACCCCCTGAGCTATGCATGGGAAATTAATTGAATAACTTTGTTCCCAAGCATGGAAAAAATGGTAGCGAAGTCTACACATACTCCACATTTTTTTGCATCCATTTCTCCAATTGTTTGGTGATGCGCTGGTGCTTCCATTCCGTCATGTTGGCAACAATCACACCGGGATTGAAAGAACAAGTGCTGGGGCTTATGCCCAGGTCCTTTATGGTCTTCTTGCGGTAGTCCAGATAGCCCATATATGTATTCTGTCAAGGAACAGGATAAGCATGCTTTTGACCAACAAATCTTTTGTTTCCGAACAACGATCATTTTCTTAAAACCATTGTGCAGTGTCTCTGGGTCTCCCCGCCCAGTGTCCTTTGCTGGCTTCTTCTTGTTTTCCCAACTTCTAAAAGCTGAGTGCCCCTAGTCTCACTTGTAGCACCTCTTCCTTTCTCTGGCACTAACGCTCTAGACAGCCTCATGGCTCTAAATACTATCTGTGTAGACGGTCCTGACCTCTCTGGATTTCCCACTCCTGCTCCATCTGCCAATTCAGTGTCTCCTTCTGGATGCTTAATAAGGCAGCCCTACTTCCATCCAAAAAGTGCTCCCGATCCTATCCCAAACGTGCTTTCCAACAACCTGCCCCACCTCAGTTAGTGGCATCTCTGTCCTTCTAGCGACTTAGGCGAAGAAAACCCAGAGTCCTTAGGTCATCTTTGACTCCTCTTACTCACTTTGCATACAATTCTGGCAGCAAATCTATTGGACCCATCTTCCAAAAACATATCCAGAAGCCAACCACTTCCCATTCACTGGATTTCCGCCAGCTCCCATGTCCCTGCTTCTACCCCTTTCGGCCCCACTCTGTCTCTGCATGATTTATCTGCTCAAAGCCTCACCAGTGGCTTCCCATCTCACTCAGAGTGAAAGCCACAGTTCCTAAAGCGACCTGCCCTGCCCTTCCATTACGCCTCTGACTTCTATTATTCTTTCCCTTGATCCCTCAGCCACACTGACGTTCCTCTAATATGCCAGACAAGCTCCTGCCTCAGGACCTTTGCACTTGCTGCTACCTATTCTTGGAATGTTTTCCCCCTGCTTAGGTGGTTCCTTTCATTCTTTCAGGTTTGATCTCAGCAACGCCATCTCAGCAGAGCCATCCATGATCACCCTATTTAAAATACAGCCCCAACTCCACTCTGATCCTCTGTTAAGTATTTTACCTGTCTTCCCTCTAGAATGTAAGCTACACAAAGGCAGGGCTTTTAGCTTTGTTTACTGTATTACTAGTACCTAAAACAGTGTCAGGCACACAGCAAGCACTCAGTACGTAGCTGACTGAATGCAACATGAGGCAGGATGTACTGTTTTGCCCACGTGGGCGGCCATAATCCACCTCAGTGGGATGCTCGAATATGACATGGAAGTAACAGAAATACTCAGGCGCTTTCAAGAACTTTAAGTGCATGCAATAAGGTTACATGCATCGACTAATTAATTCTCACAATGACTCTCCCTCTATTTGACAAATAAGGGAGAAAACAGTTGTTTAAGTAACTTGCCCAGGGTCACAAAGCTACTATGTGAGGGAGCCCAGATCCTGACAAAGGTAGGTCTGGCCCCAGAGTCTAGCCTTAAAATTAAAATTATTTGTATTTTTATTTAATTTTTTTTTAAAGTATAAAAGAAAAGCTTTATCAGAAGGGAAAGTACACTTCCAGACGCGGAAGTGGGCCTGAGCAAGAGAAGCGTGGCTCAAAAGGCCAATTAAAATTATTTTTTAAATTAAAATTAAATTTAAAATTATTTCCTGGAACTTTTTTTTGAAGAATAGCGTTTGATTCTTCCTCCCACCCCTTTAATCCCACTCCCCCTACACACACACTTCCACCCCTGACCCATGGATGTTGATGTTTCCCCTTATGAGCTGGATCTCTGGTGGGGGGTTGGGGGGGCTCCTCCCACGCGCTCGCAGCAATCTGGGGGGCGGGGCCTGGCGCACCCGGGACGTGAACCCAAAACCTTCAGCTTGCAAAGCACACTTGCTAACCACTACACTATGGAGCCACAGCCCAGTATTTGATTCTTAATGGCACCTTGCATTTTAAAGCCATTCTTCTGGTTCGACTTCCCTCATTTCCACCAGGGTAAAGAGCTTGAACAAAATCAAGATTTTCCTCAGCTGACAGGGGGAAAAAAAAAAAGCGACGGTCAAAACTCTGAAAATAGAACCAAAGAGTCAGCGAGTCTCTTACAGAAAACGCCATCTCTGACAGAGGGTGGTGAAGAGTGACCTAACCCCGTCTGTTATTTCTGGCGCATGTAGTCCGCGCGGGACACTTTGACCTCATGTAATTTCATCACAGCTCATAAAATCGCAACAGAGATATTACTATAGGTGTCAGATGAGGAAAGTGGGACTTGCAGGGTTAAGTAACTTGCCCAGAGTCGCTAAGAGGTGGAGCTGGGGTGTGACCGCCCCCAGCAGTCCAGACTGGCGGCTCTCCAGGTGTAGCTTACCTGTATTTTGCGTTGTGGGAGAAGAGAGGGTGAGAGCGGCAGGGTCAAGGTAGGAATCTGAAACAGTGGGCTCACCTGCAGCCCCACGAGTCTGTTCGTGTCCAGAGATGAGGGCAAATCACAGTCATCTGAAAACGCGGCCGCATGGCCCAGGGCCAAGGTGGTGTCGTACAGTTCTTGGATATCACCTGAATTTAGAAACATCAGGAGTTAAAATACTATAGCATTTGCTTCAGGGATGGATAGAGCCTTAGAACTTTAACTAATCTTCATTTTGCTTTAGGGGAGAAGTATCTGACCCCTGATTTCATGTGGCTTGGCAATATGATTAATAAAAATAGCTCATATCAATTTAGAAAGGCACTTGAAAAGAAGCTGCGATCACTCTTTGTCAAATTTCTTTATTTCTGTTGCTATGTAGGTACCACAGCAATGCTTATCTTTTTTGCATGTGGGAACGAGATAAGGCTACATTTGAACACCAAAACTTAACTCACTTCTAAGAATGTCATCAGTGAGACTACCTTCCTACATTTTAGGGGTGCAGAGAAGGGAAAGGCTACCAAGCTATTAATCACAGACTTTGACGATCAGAGAGTGGCTCTTAGAAAGACAGCTGGACTGTCCAGGGAAGCGAGTATCAACCCCTGTTTTCAAAATATTCCCAAATTTACAACAATACTATACTCCCAACTTGAATGAGCAGTCATAATCACTGGGCAGCTAGCTACTTGGAAAATGAAGAGAGAGAGTCGTTCTACTTATCAGCTGCTCCTTTTCCAAGTGGTCTCGCCGTGGGTGACTATACCTTGCACAATGACATCATCGTCCAAATAGATGACTTTCTCATGTTGGTGGATAAGCAGAGGGAGATAAAATCGAACAAAGTTCAGCTGTTAAAACAACAAAAGGAGCAATGTTGGGGAAGAGGCATGCAACTCAGAGTCTTCCAGGGGTGCTGGAGAGTCGGCTTGGACCATGGCCTTGGTTCAGCTCCAGGTTCGATGCAGAATAAAACAGGGGCTGCCAGGCTGCCTCACCTGAGCTTCTGGTGCCCAACTTATCTGCGCCTTGGGCTGAAACCAGTGCTGGCAGATCTGTGCTTCTCCTAGATTTAAACTCCCCAGCTTCTCAGACTATCGCCAGCTTCATCTCTGAATTGTTGCAGTGGGCATCACAGAAGCTTCCCCCCTCAATCTTTTAGGCCACAAATTGCCTGTTTTCCTCTACACTCGGTAATTTGACTACTGTTAACTAAATCTCACACACACACACACACACACACACACACACACACACACAGAGGCATCATCCCCAACAATAGGCTCAACTTCTTAATGACTTCATTATGTTTATGGAAACCATTTTAAATCCTTTCTGGAACAGGTGGCTTATAAATTACAAATAAGCAGAGTTTGGTGGAGACCTAACAACTGTGAGGCTTCAAAAATATTCTGTCTGGACTCCAGTGGCTAGTGCTCCATACTGAACAAGGTCTCACCATAGACTGTCCCCAGCACGTGCACGGTTCCTACTCACAGGCTGGAGTAATTCGGGCCTCGATGAATCTGCTCTGATCTTCCCTTTGAGGACCATAGGGTTGAATTCCACAACTTTAAAGTTTATTTCTCTCAGTTTAGAATGTTCGATCCATTTTCTAAAGAGATGGAAAAAAAAACCTTTAGTACACACCTCCACCTTTCCTCAATTTGTTTATTACCTTAGAGTCAATCTCTTGCCTCCTTAAATAGTTAAAAATGTGTGCAACCTTAGTAGAGTTTAGTCTATAAATCCTTTCGAGTCTTTCCCCATCTGGCCTGGCTTTAAATCATTCTTTTTTTAAAAAGAAAATTATTCACATAACTCTGTCTGCAAAGGAAATGAAACAAAATAGTAATAGCCAAATATCTCCCCAGATCTATATAATCTCCACAGGAAACTGGAAGAACAGAAAGCGTTCCTTCTTTCTGATGAAGCGGCATCTGTGGTTGCTGGTACCATCTTTGCCACGTGCTAACAGCTCTGTAATATTATGAAGCAGGACATTCTCAGTCCTCTACAGGGACGAAAGTCACTTTTACTCTGCTGTTTTGGCTCCGAAGACGATTTGAATTTACCTTTGCTCTGTCTCTCGATTTGAATTTACCTTTGTCTCTGTCTCTCAATCTTCCCCATTGGTCCTCACCCTCTGCCCTTGCCCCTTACATTTTCTCAGTCTTACAGAACTTCTTCTATCTTTTATCCAATTCATAAGATGCTTGGTAGACATAATCTCAAAATAAAATTTCCAGTGACTAAAACCACACATGGGAGCATTTGTTGTCGATTAAAAATCAACAAAAGAATTAAACGTTCCCAATGAAATGTAGATCTGCAAAATTTGAGCCGTAAAAATAAGCCATTTACATGATGTTATATGTCAATTATATTTCAATAAAGCTGGGCGGGGGGGGGGGTGGGTTTTGCACTCATGTCAATAAGAAAAAGACAGACAACCAAGCCGAAAAATTGGCAAGAGACTCGAACATGCATATCCAAACAGTCACACGATGTGCAAAAAAAGTGCTCAGCCTCATCAGAGATAAAGGAACCTCAAATAAAAACCACAGTGAGATACTGCTGGACACTCATCACAGGGGCAAAATTAAAAAGACTGTCAGGTGTCGATGTGGCAGTTGTCACATGGGAGTTTTTACTTCGTGATGATTCACTAAGCTGTACAGGGGATTTATACAATTTTGTTTTTGTGTTATACTTCAATGAAACGAGTTTTTAAAAATATTTTAAAACAAGGGATGGTGGACAGGATCCAAGAACTGGGAATCATTCTCCACTCGAATGTCATTAGTCCTGAAGCTCATGCCTTTTGGCCAAAGTGCAAACCTTTACTGAGAACATACAACACAGGCCATTCTTATGAGTTTGGTTATCTGATTTTTATACCCACAGATGATTAAAGGGCTGTTAACAGCAGGCTAAGTGAACAATCTACAACAATAAATGGTAAGAAGAGAGAGAAATTAGACAGAGAAATGAAAACCATACACAAGCCCTCAAGTCCTACAGCAGACAAGGACCTCTGAGATTGGGAGCAAATGTTTTACCAATCTCAGTATCAAATCCTACAGCAGACAAGGACCACTGAGATTGGGAGCAAATGTTTTACCAATCTCAGTATCTCCTAATGGTGCTAGAACACCAAAATCTAATTATAAAAGCCATACATGAGTCCATTCTCCTTATGAATGATGGAAATAATACTTGAAATGCCTTTAACTTTCCTTCATCACTGCTTTCCCTAATTCTTCCAACCTCCCGAGAGATAGTCACTGTGAACAGCTGGAGAGATCTTCCCAGGTCTTTTTCTTTACAGAAACACATATACGTGCATGTACGCATTTGGGATTTTTGATTTTCATTGCTACAGAATGAATCTTTGTGTCCTTCCAATCCTCATATTCATATGTTGAAAGATTATCCCCAATGTGATGGTGTTTGAGGTGGGGCCTTTAGGAGGTGATTAGGTTATGAGGGTGGAGCCTTCATGAACGAGAGTCACCTCCTTATAAAGGAGGCCCCAGAGAGCTCCCTTCCCCCCTATGTCATGTGAGGACACAGCAAGAAGACAGTCCTCCAAGAATCAGGAAGAGGGCCCTTACTAGACATGGAATCTGCTGGCACCTAGATCTTGGGCTTCTCAGCCTCCAGAACTGTGAGAAATAAAACTATTGTTTATAAGCCACCCAGTCTGTGGCATCCTGTTATAACAGATGGAACGGATTAAGACATTCATAAAATGGATCACACTGTAAGAGGTATACTGCAACTTGCATTTTCCACTTAACGATCTGCCTTGGGAATCTTCTATGTCAGTGTACACAGATTGCTTTCTTTCTCTTTTAATAGCTGGATCATATTCCATAGTTCATTTAAATATTCTTCCATTGATGAACATTTAACTATTTAGCAATTTTTTTTTTTTTTACTATTTCACATAATGCTGAAATTAATGTTGTTGTACATATATTTTGGTACTATGTAGAATTTCTGTAGCACAGATTCCTAGCAGCGGAAATGGTTTGGTGAATCAAACTACATATGCATGTAACACTTTAACAGATATTGCCCTCTCAAAATGCTTTACCAGTTTACAAAGTATGTATTGTATAAACAAGGAATAAGCATGTCTATTTTCCTGCACTAGATATTCTTGTCCTATTTGATTTTTACCATCCTGATGAGTGAAAAGTTATATGTCATTGCTGTTTTAATTGGCATTTCCCTCTTAGTAACAGCTAACATTTTTTCACGTTTATTTGATTGTATTTTTTCTTCTGTGAATTGTCTGTGTTCTATAGTCATTTTTCTACTAGATGCCTGTATGTTTAAAATTTTTTGTATGAATTCTTTATATAGTTGGGATACAATCCTTTGTCTATAATATATCTTGAAAACCTAATTTACTGTGTGATTAATTTCACTTTTTATAGTGGTTTTCATCATTTAAAAGTATATAAATGTTATGCGGTCAAATCTTGCCAGTTTTTTCCTTATGATTTGGGGCCTCAGGGCCCCATTCCAAAATTATACAATTATCGTACATTTTTATAATACATTTAAAATTTGATTTTCTGTTTATTTCTTCTAAATCCAGCTCCAATTTATTTTGTAGTGTAGTGCATGATAGGAAAGAGGTCACTTTGCAGTTCAGAATTATATTAGTGATGATTCTGAGCCATATTAAAATGGTTATATTATATTAATATTCTCTCAGGTTAAGAAAGCAGAGGAAAGAAAAAACATTTTATAAAGAAAGATTTTTACATAAACTACTTAAGGATTGAGGTTCTTTAAGTTCAGTTCAATTCAGTACAATTCAGTTCTGCAGAATGATGCATTGCTCTACCGGATCAATGAGATTTTGCAGAAAATTCCTTAGCTAGGTGACACATTTGTCAGGTCATCCCCTCATTAAGCCGAATGACATTTCTCAAACCAAAAAAAAAAAGGGGGGGGAATCCATTTAAGGAAAGTCAAAAGAAAGTAGAAAACTCCAAAGTCTAATTACCGTATTCGAGAGAGAGTGTTCCGGAGCCCAACTACATAGAACAAAATGTTGGCGTCTGTGTTACTATAGATGCTGTTGATGGCAGCCATGGCGGCACCCATTCTTCCTGCTGCTGCACAAATCACCACGGGAATCTCCCCTTCCAGTTCCTCAGGCATCTCAGAGTCATCCTCTGGAAACATCAAAATCAGTGTCTTGGAACATAAAGGAATTTCACAGAAGAGCCAGTTTAACTTGCCTTCCACACTGCTGGGGGAAGATAGCATGGTGGGAAAGAGACTGCTGATTGTTCTCCAAAATCCAGTCTCTCCTTCTTCCCTTAGCAATAGCACATGGGAGTTTTAGCTGGCACATAGCCAGCTGCTATGAATACTTTTTCCATACTCCTTTCTGACCTGTAGGATGTTAGTGCAAGTAATGTGTGTAACTACTGGGTTTGCTTTTACAAAGAATTTGCTTACTCATCTACAGCCATACCACCCTGAACAAGCCCAATCCCATCTGATCTCGGAAGCTAAGCAGGGTCGGACCTGGTTAGTACTTGGATGGGAGACCACTTAGGAAGATCAGGTGCTGTAGGCTTCAAAAATAAAAAAATAAAGGATTGTAAGCTGACAAGGTCCTTACGATCTGTGAGGACAACCAAGGGTTGCCTCACCTAAAAAATAAAAATAAATAAAATAGAATTTGCTTACTCTCCCCTTTTCCTTTCTCCCTTCCCCTCGGCTGGAATGCTGATGTGATGACAGGAGTAAGAGCAACCATCTTGGATCACAAGATGGAAGCCACCTGCTGAAGACACCAAAACCATAAGGAAGAAGGAATCTGCTCTGGATGATTGTGGAACTGACACATTAGACTTTCACTTGAAAGAGAAAATAAATTTGTATTTTGCTTAAGTCACTATTATTTTGGAGCTCTCTTACAGAAACCAGTTAAATAGCCTAACGCATAAACACAGTTGAAAAACATGTGAAGAACTGAAAAGCCTCATTGAATTCAGCAATTTCAACTCCTCAACTTTCCTCTGAATTGGAATATTTACCTCACCTCTGCTGCTATAAAATATACTACTTGTGACCTTCCTTCCCTCATCTGCCCTCTAGTCAAGTGTTTCAAAAGTTGACAGAAAGAGAAAGGAGGTAAATGAAAAGCATGACTAATGCACAAAATCAATAATTGATTATTCTTTTGAGCCTTGGCTATAACATACAATACTGATGATACATGTATGTATTATTTTAAAACCAAAATGAAATCATACCTTTCATAGTCTTCTCTCTCTTTCTCTTTCTCTTTAAAATAGTTTTATTGAGGCATAATTTAGATACTGTTGTAGACTGAATTGTCTATAACCCCTAAAATTCATATGTTGAAGCCCCAACTCCTAATACCTCTGAATGTAAGTTTTTGGATATAGGGCCTTTAAAGAGGCAATTAAGTTGAAAGGGGGCCGTTATGGGGGGAGGGGGCCTTAATCCTATATGACTGGTGTCCGTGTGAGCAGAAGAAGAGATACCAGGGATGCAGGCACAGGGAAAAGGTCATGTGAGGGCACAACAAGAAGGCAGCCATCTGCAAGCCAAGCAGAGAGGCCCCAGGGGAAGCCACCTTGATCTAGCATTTCCAGAGCTACAAGAAAATAAATATGTTGTTTAAGCCACCTAGTCTGTGGTTCTTTGTTATGGCAGCTCTGACAAACTAATACAGGTTTATTTGTATTTACTTACTGTGAATGTACAATTCAATGATTTTTTTGGTAAATTTGAGTTGTGCAACCATAATCACAGTCCAAATTTAGAACATTTCCATCACCCCGAAAAGTTCCCCTGAGGCAGTCTGCAGTCAACCCATGCCGCCTCTTAGCACAAGACAACTACCAATCTGCTTTCTGTCACCATAGATTTGCCTTTTCTAGAAAGTTTGTATAAACGGAAACATACAATATATGGTTTTTTGGGTCTGGCTTCCTTCATTTAGCTTCCAGTTTGGGGCACCTATGAATAATGTCCTATAAACATGTGTATACATGTCTTCGTGTGGAAATCATTTTTTCCTCAGATGTTCCTAGATTATTTAGACCAGATTATGTATGTTTTTAATTGTTTTATGAATTTCCATATTAAGAAAAAGTCAGCTCCGTGAGAGTGGGGACATGATTTTGTTCATGGTTATGTGTCTAGTGCCTTAGCAATTGGCTTTTAAAAAAGTGTGGAATAAACGTGTGTAAAGCACCAAATTATTAACTGTATTTGTCTTTGGCTGAAACAGCTATAGGTAATATTTTTTCCTTTTCTGTATTTTCCATAAATGAGTGCATTTGCTTGACTAATATAAAAAGCAAATTAATCAAAAATATAATAAATATGCTACCGGTGCTTCTTAATTTATGTGGGCTGACTTTGTGTGTTTTGCAGTTATGAAGGTGCCAGTTCACAATTCTTCTCCTCAGGGAATTGGTCTCCTCAGTAGCTGGAAGAGGATACAGGGTCAATGCAGGATCTTTTTATACGTTGACAATTATGAGGCTGTTTGTGCACTGATGAGAATGAACCAGCAGGGAGAAGAAAGAGATGGCAATTTTTATAAGCAAAATTACTGAGAGACTCCAAAAGGATGGGTGTAAAGCAGGTAAAGCAGGCCACTCAAAGTGTGGTCCAAGAACCAACAGTATCGGCATCAACTGAGTGCTTACTGGAAATGCAGAGTCTTAGGTCCTGCCCTAAGTCTACTGATTCAAAGCCTCTCCAGGTGGGACCCAATACTGTGTTTTAACAAGCCCTCCATGTGATCCTTATATGTGCTAAAGTTTGAGGAACACAAATAGTCTAGAACACAACTGAAAAGTTGGTCTTGGCCTTCAAGCAGGTGTTTGGGAAGTGACCAAATTGTTGCTTATCTCTGAACCCAGCTACTGAAAGGACTCAGAGGAACATATTTAAACCGAGTTTCCAGGTATCCCATCTCGATAGATTACATGCCTGCTTACCTCTTTCATTCTTTTTTAAAATGCATTTTTAATTGTGGTAAAATACATTTAACACAAAATTTGCCATTTAAACCATTTTTAAGTGCACAGTTCAGTGGTATTAAATACTTTCACACTGTTGTACAATCATCACCACCATCCATCCCCAGAACTCTTTTCGTCTTGTAAAGCTGACAGTCTATACCCATTAAACATTAACTTCCCATTTCCCCTCCTCCTAGGCCCTGGCAACCATTATACTTTCCGTCTCTATGATTTTGATTATCTAAGTACCTCATATAAGTGGAATCACACATTATTTGTCTTTTTGTGACTGGTTGATTACATTTAGCATACCTGCTTCATTCTTGAGCACAGTCCCCTTATGTACTTTCTTATACAGAATCCCACAGAGGGTCACAATCAGAAGGAAGAGCAACACCTGATTAACTGAAACAAAAACAGAAACATGTTCAAGTTTAATGTATCAAGCCGAAATTGTGGAAAAGTTTAGAACAGCCATGTGAGCAGATGCATTCCCTGACATACCCTGGAGAGGTGGTCTGGGACCTTTCTTTAAGCAGATGGCACGTGGGGTAAGAAGTTAACCTGGGATACTGTTGATGCTCAAGGATACACACATGTAGTTTAAGGAGGATCCAAACCAGGGCTAAATCCAAGCAGTCTGATGGCAGAGGCTACAACCTTATGACTATATGATGCTGTCTTTACTGTGCATAAATACTTTGTTTCGAATAATAGCCAACATTTATATAACACTTACGATGAGCAAGTACTTATTATGAGTACATGTTCTTAGCCGTTAGAACCCACCTAAGATCTTCTCAGTTAATTCAACCACTGGTCAAGGATGACATACAGAAAATTCTTGCCTTGGTTAAGAGATTGAAAGACCTGTTTACCTCTTCCAGTTTTAAGCCTCCAGGAGCAACTGTCCCCAAACAGCAACACTTCTCCCTGGGATTTATTGAGAAGTGGAAGGGTGTAGGGCAGTGCTTTCGTAAGCATGGAGCACATACCACTGGTTATAGCAGAGATGACTTAGGAGGTTTGTGTTCATAGCATAAGGAATATTAAATCTCAGTGTGAGAAATCAGTCCTAATTTCATATGCAGGCAGGCAACAAAAGCTACACAGAATTGAATAACATTCTAATCATATATAGTTGTACAATCACATTCTTTTTATGATTGGAGATAATTATTTTCTATTTACAGTAAGGATATAAACTTCCTATTACAAAGTAAACTTATAATTTTTAAAAAATCGGTCGATTTAAAGAAAATAGTCATGCATAGGACCGAAGGAACATAGATGATGAAAAATTGTGAAGGTGGTACACAATTGTCTGCAGTTTGGAAAACACTGGTAGAAGGGGAAAGGGCTGGGATTTAAGCCAGACTCAAATCTCATTTCTACTACTTCCTAACTGTGTGGCCTTGGACAGGTTACTTAACCTCTCTGAGCCTCAGTTTCTCATCTGCTAAATGGGGATTGTAATAATAATTATTACTTCGTAGTTGTATTTTGAGGTTCAATAAAGATTTTATAATTGTTGTGTATTATTATTTATTATTTTTGTGCATCAAGATATTTAACATTTATAGGCCTCATACCAACCTATTTTCTGGCCTCTAGGCTTTTTTTCTTTACATTTGTAAAATTTATAAAATGAAAGAGTTAGACAGTCTCTAAGGATGACTTCCAGAACTGCATTCTAAGGCCCAATGATTCCATCTTGCTAACTGACACACAGCTCCTCTCTGCCTCTGGTGTATCAAATTCCATCAGAGACAACGAGATACTAGACTCAGTTTAAAACTAAGCTATAGAGAAGCAGAAGATAAGGGACAAAGTTATATAGTTTATCAATACATCTGATTAACATTCACCTGCCACAGTCAGTTTAGGGAAGTGGCCCACAGTGACTGCTGTCTGCCCCTTTCAACCATGACTCTTATTGCTGATAGAGATAAAAGTTTTTTATTAGTATAAGTATGTCCCATGCAATACTTGGGATATACTTATACTAAAAAAAATTATTCATAGTTTATCTGAAATTCAAATCTAACTGGATATCTTGTCTTTTCATCTGCTACATCCGGCAACTCTACCCTGAGGATATCAGTAATACCATCAGGTTACCATATTTCCCCCATATTCACAAATTTCTCGATCTAAAATCAGGGTCAAATCAGGGTTTTGATGGGGTCTGATAAAATTTGAGGTGAGTCTTTAAGAACAAGAATACAAAATTACAAATGCTAAATTGGACAGGAACATGAATATTTATTTACAATGAAAAAATAATCTTTGCAAGTTTTATAGAAACATATGACCCCTCTCATGATAAGTCAACCTCTGTCCAAAATACTTAACTACTTTCCATGTGAATCATCCTGAAATAATGATGCCAAGAACTGCTTGTGGGAAAACTATGAAAATCAAAGCATATTTCAAAAGAAAGAAAAGCCAAGACCCAGCATCACAACAGCCCTCCAAAATATCTCTTTTTAATCATTAATTGTAATCTTACTTTTTCGTAACAAAGCCATGTGTATTCACGTAGATAAAAAACTGTGACCTGTGGATTAAAGAAAAAAAATTTGTTTAAAAGAAAATCAACCCAAAAGTCATCATAAAATTATTAAGGACTATATCTTTGACTGTCAGATATGTGGTGAATTGTGCAATTATCCTTTACTGTTCTGAATCTAGAATTTTTGAAACTGAATACTTCTTGAATGTGTAGCTTGCTTCTTCAAATTGACATCTCAATTTGAACCACGCAAAGGACCCCCAAGACAAAATCTTTGTCTTCAAGTTTTTTCACCTTCTCCAAAAAGAGCCCTGCCAGCCTTTGGGTTAGCAGCAGATCAGATGGCGCTAACCGAAAGAAGTGTCACACAGGTAGGTCACCTTGACCTAAAATATCAACCCCATGCCTTTTACTTTGCTGTCATAATTTCATTCTTTTGATAAGGAAGCTTTTATGTCTTCAGGAATCCCTTGTGGATACAAAACCATTCCTGAGAGGGGCACACCTACACTCAGGTCATTCATTCATTCATTCATTCAGTATTCATTAAGATCTTAACAAAAGCCCAGCACCATGATACGTACTGGGGATGCACCAATGAACAGATTTGTCCTTGTCCCTATCATCATGGAGTTTTCAACCCACTGGGGGAAGGAGATAATAAGACGTAACAAATAAAATAGATTATGGTAAGTGCTATGAAGGAAGCAACAGAGGGGCTGAGATAAAGATAAACAGAGGTGGGGAGTGTGTCAGGAAGAGAAATCAGGAAAAGCCTCACCGAGGAGATGGCACTGGATCAGAAGGAAGGCTTCTTCGAAGACAGGCTGGAAGGCTGCCAGAGACAGATAAGCTTTGGCAGTTTGGCATTACTGTACACTGTCTGAAGTAATTAAAATACTCACCTTTTTGCAACTTCATATATACCAATGTTGAAAAGCCCTTCTACCTCTATTTTGAAGATTATAGAAAATAAAGAAGGGACCAGGACACAAAACGAAGGGAGACTTTTCACTTGATATTCTTACAGGGCTTATATTAAACTTATTTAAGAACCAGTATGGCTCTCGGCACTGATCGATTAAAATGGGCACCGCCGCTGTCCCACCAGTATATTCTGACTAATAAACAGCAGCCATAACACCCACAGAATATTTAATCATATGAACGTACTATCTGTTGAACCAAATAAACAAATAGTTCAATACAGGAAATTCTAAATACAGACACACACAATGCATGTTCTGATAAACAACCAGAGTGGCTGTCAGAACATCGACCATTCTCATATTCAACAGACCAACTTTTTACTTTTTACATGGAGCTCTTGGCTTGCATGAGACAAATCCAGGGCAAATTCCAAGAGGACTAGCAACTAAATATAATCCAGGAACAACTTTTAACAGACGAGGCCAATTGCTTTTTCAGTGAATAAAGAATTAGCTTAATGAGAACTATTTTTCTGCCATTTGATACATGTTGACATGGTAATTTCTTCGTGGTGTCCTAGCTTTCTGTAAATATCCTACCTGTAAATATCCTATCTGTAAATATGTGTAAATATCCTATGAACTTCCATAATTAGAAAGGGTGCTCCACCTAGGGAAACCACAAATGCTGTATAATATATATTCAGTACACCTGCTTTAAAAATCACTTACTATGATGCATTTATACTTGCTGTTGAGTGTATCAATAATTTGTTCTTTTCTATTGCTGAATAGAATTCCATTGTATTGATATATGAGTTTATTTATCCACTTACTCACTAAAGGACGTCTGAGTTGTTTCCAGTGTTTTGTGATTATGAGTAAAGCTTCCAGAAACACTTGTTTACAGGTTTTTGTGTGATTCTAAGTTTTCACCTTTACCACAATATCTTCAAGTGGGATTGCTAGGTCATTTGGTAGATGTATGTTTAATTCTACGAGAAACTGCCCATCTGTTTTCCTGAGTGGCTGGATCATTTTACATTCTTACCAGTAATATAAGAGAATTCCAGTAGCTCTGCATTCTTGCTAGCACTTAGTATTCTCAGTAATTTTAATTTTTGCTGTTCTTATAGATATATGTCACTCTGGTTTTAATTTGCACTTCCCTAATGACTACTGATGTTGAGCATTTTGTATGTGACTACTCGCCATCTTTATATGGTTGTGATGGTTAATTTTATGTGTCAACTTGACTGGGACATAGAGCACCCAAATATTTGGTCAAACATTATCCTGGGTGTTTCCGTGAGAGTGTTTTCGGATGAGATGAACACTGAAACAGAGGACTAAGCAAAGAAATTGTCCTCTCTGATGTGGGTGGGCCCCTACAACTAACTGAAGTTCTTAATAGAACAAAAACGTTTGGCCTTCTCCTGAGTAAGAGAGATTTTCTTTAGCCTGACTGCCTTTGAACTGGGACATTATCCTTTTCCTGCCTTCAAACTCGAATTGAAACATATGCCAGTCCTGGGTCTCAAGCCTGCCATGTCTTCACACTTGAACTAGAATTATACTATTGGCTTTCTTAAATCTCCTGCTTGCCGATTCCCCCTGCAGATCTTGAGTCTTATCAGCCTCCATAATCGCACAAGCCAATTCCTTCTAATAAAGTCTCTTTTACCTATATATACAACTTATTGGTTGTTTCTCTAGGGAGCCTTGACTAATACAGTGGTGAAGTGTCCGTTTAAATCTTTTGACTATTTTTTAATTGAGACATTGATTTTTTTTTTTTGAGTTTTGAGAGTTCTTTACATATTTTGGATATAATTCCTTTGTTGGGTATATGATTTACAAGTACTTTCCTCCAGTATGTGGCTTGTCTTTCCATTCTTTTAACAATAAATTTTGCAGAAAAAAAGTCTTTCATTGCGATGATGTCAAATTCATCAATTTTTTTCTTTTATGGCTCATGTGTTTGGTGTCATATCTAAGAATTTTTGGCCTAACCTGAGGTCATGATGAGTTTCTCTGACATTTTCTTTTGAGAGTTTTGTAATTTTATATTTTATATTTTGAGTTAATTTTGCATATGGCATGAAGTATAGGTCAAAGTTCATTTTTTAGCATATAAATATCTAGTTGTTCCAGGATCACATAATGAGAATACCATTTCCAGGGAATTATTTTCTTTAATATTTTATTCCAGTTTCAAATCTAGAGGATGAAGTGTTTCCAAAAGAAGGGAGAAAAGGCTCAATACAGGTTTTGGATTTCCTCCTACACTTCCTACAAGGATTATAGATCTGGATAGCCACAATGGCTAAAAAGTGAGTTACATTATCAAATAGAGATTCAGCAATGTGCTCAAAGTAGCATCAGGCTTAAGGAGGCAAGAAAAGGGACAATATGTTATGAAAAAGTTTCAACCAAATATTTCCCCAAATTCAAATCCTATCTTTTCACAATATTCTGGAGTATTTTATTTGTGCTCTGAAACCCAAGAGAGCTAACAAGCTCTCTGTTCTCGAAACACATCTGTTACAACCCTGCTTCCTGGTATCCCAGTTCATAATTTATCTAGATGATTATTACAATACCTTATATATTCATTGGAAGAAGCAATGGGCACTAAGAGAAGCATGGGATAACTGGACAGGTTTGGTGGAAAACATAGTTAAACCATTAGAAAAGAATTTTAGATTATAAAATTCAAATTAGTCTAGAAATCTAAAATTCAATTTTGTCATATTTATATATTCATTTGCTTCTTTGTGGCATTCTGTCAATCACCCCAGGAGCTGGAAACTGACTTCCTTTATGTTAGAAAAAAGTTAATTCATTATAAATAACAATCGTCTTGAAAACTCAAAGTTTATTTTAAATTAAGTTGATCCTTCTTAATTATGGTCCTTCAAAGGAACTTGTGAACTTGACATTTGACTTATGGCAAGAGTCAGCCAACAGGGTATAATACCCTTTAGAAATTAGCAACAAGACAGAGACAGCCTGCAGGACAAGACAGGCAGGATGTCACAGTACCCTAGGGTTTCTTCATGAACTAAAGTGTTGTGAGAAGTTGATCTAGACAAATTCTTCAACAGGGATCTGATGCAAGTCTTTAATTCACTGTAAACAAGCAGCTACAATGTCCCTTTTGTTTTCCTGGGATATAGACTGGATACCCAAAGCTCTGAGTACATTTGCAGTGACCCTTCTCCTCTTCCCCTCTTGCACCTGGGAAAGAATCAAGCCCAAACAGCACACTATTTAGGATTCTTCTGAGATTGGTTTCAGGTAGTTTTGAATCCATTTATGATTTTAGGTGACATGCGTTCAGCTAACTTTTTGAGAAGATATAAGCCTTACCTGATCACTCTGTCCGGGTGCTCCCTGACCCCTGTTCCTGTCCCCATCTCTGTACTTCCGACACTGTGTTCTCACATGATGGGTGTGCCTCTCTTTCCCACGAGATGGTGAGAGGACTGACGACAGGTACTGTGGCTTACCTACCTCTGTGTGTCTCAACAAATGTGCGTGGAAT